TAGCAAACTCCACTTAATTATTTCTTTAGCCAGTAAAGCTGTGGCGGGATGTTCATAACCAAGGTTTGTTTGATTAAAAAATTTCGAAAACACCTAAGCACTTCTCATGAGTTGTGAACGCGAAAGCATTTTCGGTGCCAAGAGGAGCAGAAGCGGCCGCAGCACTGCCAGGGAGTGCGGCGGTGCGTGCACAGACCGCCCTGGTTCGCTGGTGACTGCTGCGCCGCTGGTTGAGGCAGCGGCGGGAGTGCGAAGCTCGTCGCAGCACCGGGACTGCGTGACGATGCATTTGCATTGCTGCGCTTGTCTTTGTGTTTTACCTCTGAGGCGCGTCCGCTTTGACCAGATACTTTGACGTGGCAAAGTATCTGATATGACGCGTTGCAGCCAATGAGACTAGGTGCCGGTTTGCTCAGCCAGTGGGAATTCAGGTGTCGTTTTTCGTGGTTACAGATGACGCCAGCTTCGCTCCTTGGGACAGTTATTGCTTTCGCATTAATATTTGGTCAGAGTGGTTCCGCAGTGTTCCCGTCCACCTTCAAAGCTGCTTGCACTGCTTTTATCGATTTATCACCTACTGTAAACGACTTACTTTTCACGGGCTCAAATTTTCGCAAATTGGACCAAAGCTGAAAATTTGAAATTATTCGCGGGTTCTAATTTTCACGAATCGAGTGTAGCTTCCGTAGCGTTCACATATTGCACGAATTGTTCTTAAGACGTATTTTTCGCGAATCGTAAGCGATTCGTGCGAAAATTAGGTTCTCGCAAAAAATTTAGTCGTTTACCGTATATCGAATTTTTTAGCCGTCCCGTTGACTTTGTTATAATGAGGGGTTACTGTAAATGTATCTCCGATTTATATTTGATGTAAGCTTAAAGAAGAAACTGATTTATGTAAACTTTTTATTATTTTTTTTATTATTTTTTTATTGAGATGTACCAGTTATTTTGCATTAATTTCATCAAAAACAATTCCGGCGTTTTGTTTTGCAGTCACCTACTTCCTACCGGGAACACCATATGTAAAGAAAGGCGATTTCCACGTCCGAAAGGAGGCTAGCCAAACACTTGCAGGAGCACACTTATAATTGTTTACGTGTAGGAATGCAATTCCTACTCGCAGCGCATTCTTACAAGCAGCATGCCTCGCTGTCCATGGCGCAGAGGACAGGGGCCAGTGCGCCCGCTCCTGCACGAGTGAGGACAGCGGGCAGCGCGCCCCGCTTTTTTGGGCATAACGTAGCTCAAAGCAGAGCAGCAGAGCATAGTACACGTGAGGAGCGGGAACTTTTCACTCCCCCTTCCGCCCCTCCCTCCGGGCCTCCGGCCACGCCTGACACGTGACCCGAGAGGGGGGAGAGAGGGGCTGCTGAGCGCGCTCCATCCTCCCTTTTGCCAGCGGGCGGGCCGCAGCACCATGGAGAGGGCTTCTCTGTGGGGTGATGTTCCTTGGAACTATGGCGCATCGGAGCCAATGGGAATTTACCCCTAAATTTGCTGCAACAGACTACAGGCTTCGCTCCATGGGACAGGGGAATTTAGGTGCCGTTTGGCGCGGCTTCAAAAGCTGATAACACCAGTTCGATCCATGGGACAGTTAATGCTTTCACATTAAAAGAAAGTGAACCATCTAAGTTGCCATACTCAAACGTTGATTGCCCAGTGATTCCAAGCGTCATTGAAGTTTTTGTTAGATTCACTTTTTGTACTGTCCAAATCTTTTTTCATGAAGTACAGAGTGTATGCCATACTGGTCCGGAAGTATTATTGACGCATACAAAGTGGGACAAAATGTCTTTGGAGGGCATCTCTCCCACGAAATCGGCACTGCATACCCGCGAGTGTGGGATGGTATTTCACTCGATCCCATCGGCACTAACATATGTGGGCGTTACTGGCACATAAACAAACATAGTGCGCAAAGCAGCAGTGTAGAATATGTCAGCCGTGCCGATACAGTAACAGACGTGATCGGGAGACCAAATTTCTTACGTCGTCTATTGCACAGGTCCATCGTTGTCGCTTGGCGCAGCATGGCCTATGTTGCTTTTTGCGCCATTAAACACCTAATAATCAATCAATAATCAAATCCATCGTTGTCGCTGTCCCCAAATCATTGGTGAGTTAAAAAAGCCATAAAACTTTGTCCCCACGATACATAACACTTAACTATTGGAGCACATAACGACGCAGCTGTTGCTGTGAACCCAGGGCAACCGCACCACTCTGACTTCAATGCATACCAATGTGCACAGCATGCTTTCATTTTGTGCGTCACACTGGGTGTATAGGTCTTCATATCCAAGGCTAGCAAGCAATAAATTCTCAAATTTGTTGTTCAATAAAAAAAAAAATTGTGCAGTTGTTTTATATTTGGTGAGCGTGTTTTCTTTTCTTTTTTATCTAGACTTCCCACGTGTTTGCTAAAGGCCTAAATCAGTACAAACTCTATCTTGCAAAAAGCTACTGCTACCGCATTCACTTTTCGCCTGAGATGACAGACCATGACACTGTTTACGGGGTTATACTCACTCTTTTTTTCTTGCGAGGCAGGTGACAGCAAGATTGTGCCGGGTTAGATTCTTTATCGGATATAGCATTGTACATTAACTTGCACATCTAAATCCGCGCAGTTGTGCTTGAAATTCTCGAAATGATGCGATTTTTCAACTGCGCTCGTATGCCAGCCGGATGTGATACTGCCCAGTTTACGGAGCGGGCAATGCCACCGGGGCATTTCCCTCTCAACTCTTTTCAGTGGAATGGTCTATGGGGGGTGCGATTTATAGACCGGAAACTATGGTATACTGTGTTGCCTGTGCCTGCTTCCTGCACCCAAAATCATGCTACAGTATAGACCACTCACAACGTAACTGCTTATAGTGCAGGACCGGGTATAACACGGCTTTTTTAAACCACCGGTTCGCCTCCCATAGAACTTCATGTAATTACATACCGCTTAAAATGCAGGCGCGCGAAGGGAAATACCAGTTATAGTGCGGTTTCTGGAACAGCCCGCCGACCGTGCCGATCGACCGGCGCAGCGAGCGCGCTTCCCTGTGCGACACTAGATAACGGCGCTAGCCGCAAGCGGCACTCGCGGGGCAACGAGGTTGCTCGAAGAAGCGAAGAGAGAGGCTTCAGTTGCCATAGCGACGGAGGGACGCACGCACGTGTCGTTCACGTGCGTGCGTCCCTCCGCTGCGTTGGAAACAACTGCAACGACAGACCAATCGCAAGTCGAGGAGAAGTGTTCGCGCGCGTTGCATGCCGGTTGCGGGCCGGCTTCTTCTATTCGCAAGCATGGCATCGGTTTTGATCGTCGACGTAGACCGTAGACAGCGTGGTGGAAGCTCATCGTTCCGCGTAAAAGCGCTATCCTTGACTTTGAATTTTCGTCGTGTGTCGCTATCATAACCCAGCACGTACTAGAAGGGAAGATCCACCTACTCGTGCGGCGATGTCGTGGCAGCACTCTCAAGACGGCAGAAACACCCGTGTCGTTGTGTTTGTTTACTTCGAGTACAGTGGTGCTTTCTAAGCATTTGTGTTTTCGAACATCGCCTGGATTTCTTATTTGGAGCAATTCATGCCTGTGCTCAAGTTGAAGGTATTACTGGCGCGCACCGTATAAAGGATGCGAATTTTCACGCGTTTTCATCACCGGAGAAAAGTGATTAGGGTTAGCAATCCTGAACGCTCGCAACGTCCGTCCGCAACCCGCAACGCCATTAAAAGGCTGCGCCAGGCAAAAGTCGCTCATTTCTTTCAAAATGTGTGACACACTTGAGAGAGAAGTGTACTAGTCTGGTGAAATAAAGACTTTCCTCATACTAAGCTTTATTTTTCATCTAACATAAAATAAATTCTTTTACATAGGTAAGTTGTCTCATGGCATGTATTTTGGCCTGAAAAATTGATGTTTTCATTATAGCGCGGTACCGCTTATAGTGTGGATTGTCGCGACTCCCGCGACTTACGTTATATGCGGTCTACACTGTACTTGGTGATCTTCCTCACTAGACAACTTGAGACGTCAGTGGCACACAGTTATACTTGAATGGTAATTCAACCACAGTAATTGAATTACCACAATTTAACATCATTTTTTAGTCTTTTGTAATTGTGATTCGTTGCTTTTGACTAAAAGTAATTGTAGTTGCAATTAAATTACTTTTTAGCCTCAATAATTGTCGAATGTGAGTTGCAATTACTTTTCTCATAATTTTGGCACGCTGGAACTTTGTTCTGCGAGTCACTGAGAGGCAAAAATAGATTGAGCAGCCGTCTCTAATGTTCCTCTCTGCCAAGTCATGGGGCTTTGGAAACACTGAGACTGCATGAGGGCGCCGATCGTGGATGCACAGCTGAGCCTCTGTCCAAGCCACAGCACGTGCACAGGGGCACGGGAGCTGCCGCATATTAAGCGAGAGTGTCTTCCATTGTCAGGAGGGAGAGAAAGATTCAAACCAATGTGATTGTGACGCCATTACCTTATCAAGACTCGTGTTGGCCAAGGATAATTAAGAGCTTGAGCCTCCGCTAGACATTTTCAGTGCTTACCAAGGCTGTCCCTTTTTACTTTGAACTGTGCCAATTATAAGTACGTTAATTAACTCGGTGGTGTTGTAAGATGATGAAACGACTCGTATCATACTCTGAACTCGGCTCTCGTGCCATTTAATGAAGTCGGTGAAACTCACACTATGTCATAAATGTAACACTATGTCATCAATGTATAACACCATAATATACTGTATCCCAAACAGCCGTGTAATGAAAAAGAAATGCTCTTCAGTGCAGAGAGTAGTCATTGCAAAGCAATCGAATTAGTTTCTGAAGTAATGCATAATTGTAAATAATTAGTTTTGTGCACTAGGAACTCTAATTGTAATTTAACTACTTTGGGAACAAAGTAGCTGTCGTTGTAATTAAATTACATTTCCAAAGTAATTTGTGGTACCCAAGTATGCATGTTGTGTTGTGCTGTTGTGCAGCACGCGCTGCCACTGCCTGGCTTCTTGCTGCTGGTGCCGAACATCTACAGTCACGCCGTGTCCTTTACCCAGTCAGGTGAGCCGTGCCCCACCCACCTTACTTCCACTTTTGGACAGGTTAACTCTATGACACATCATAAAAAACAAAAGGTCAGACAAGCTGACCACTTTACAGACTAGTCTTTTTTCGTGCTCTTAACCCGATTGGAATGACTTTGGAGGCAAACTGTTATGTACTTCAGGGTTGGGTCTTACCGTAATACTTTGTTAACTTATAACAAGTGGCCGGAATGACAGCGGCCTTCCGTCCTCGCGGTTCCAGAGTCGCCCCCCCCCCCCCCTTGACAAGAGTTTCTTAACCTTCTTCGGTGCAGCCGTTACGGAGCGGGTCGGTGGTGGCATCTAGTGAGGGCGTACAAATACACAGCCCTCCTCCCTTCTAATTAAAGGCTATGGGAATCTTAGGGGCTTGCAGACAGTTTGTGTGGGTCGTCTCGTACAGAACGTCCTTGCATCTCCACTGTCCTTGGTTTGCTCGTTACATAGCCTTGGTCCTTGTTAGGTCGCAGTTGTTCCCCAGGACTTGATACCAAAGTGATCAAGTGTGGCTTGAATAGGTCATTGTGGCGGAGCACTTGCCCTTGCGGAGTTGATACAGTCACAATGGATGTTCCGCTGGTGTTTTCAACCTCACCCAACCACCATCGAGGTCTCTTGCCGAAATTGCGAACTGCTACCTTGGTCCCTTTCTTGTAGCGTAGTCCCTTTTCCTTTTTTTCTTGCTCAGCCCGTTGCCTAGATTCTGTTGGCAATTGCTCCAGAATTGCCTCTTCACCCCTCCTGGGAATACAAAGGTCCAGTCTTGCTTTCATTAGATAAGCCAGCATCTGTTTTGCTTGAGACGTTCCGGTTGGACAGGCTGCTCGGCGATACATGAGCAACCATTGAGCAAGTCTGAGCTTTGAGGTCTCTTCTCTCTGTTTTCTTGAGGCCATCTATTCTGCCAAGCCATTAGATGCTGGATAAAAAGGGGCAGTTTGGAGATGCTTGATTCCATTTCGTTGGAACGGCTGATTGGTGAATGGAGTTTCATTGTCTGTTACAATGTACTTTGGTAGTCCGAACCTTGTAAAAAGGTCACGTAGGTGCTCTACAGTTTGCTCGGATGTGGCACTTGCCTTAATGAGAACTTCAAGCCATTTTGACTTCGCATCTACGAACACCAGTAGCATCTTTCCCTCAAATGGTACTGCAAAGTCGAGATACAGACGCTCCCAGCATTCCTTTGGCTCGGACCAGGGTACCGGTTCTGCTTTTGGTGGCGTTGGGGAGTTCTGGAGGCACTGTGAACATTGTTGTGAACAGTGCTCTACTTCTGCTTCCATGTTCGGCCACCGCACAAGAGATCTCGCCGTGCCTTTCATGACCACCATTCCCTGGTGAGTTTCATGCAGCAGGTCTAAGGTGTGTTGGCGAGCAGGCGTTGGCACGACCACCCGGTTTTTCCAAAACAGGAGATTCCGATGCACGCCTAGCTCATTACGTCTGTTCCAAAATGGTTGAAGTTACTTGTCTGGAGGCTTTTGTGGCCATCCTTCCTCCACCCACTGTAGCACTTGGCTTAAGTCCTTGTCACTGCTTGTGGGTTGTTGCAGTTGCTTGACTAAAACCGCCAGCTTTTCGAAGCTCGAGATTGAGTTGACCAGCTCCGGAGGATCTGTATGTGCCGTCTTAAAGGGAAGCCTGCTCATGGCACCGGCGTTTCCATTAAGAGACGTCCTGGTTGTGCTCGATGCTGTACCTGTAAGCTCCAAGAGTAAGAGCCCAGCGTTGGATGTGCGAAGCTGTCATGGCTGGAATTGCCTTGTATTCCCGAAAAATCCCCAAAGTGGCTTGTGGTCAGAGATGAGCACAAGACTTTAACACAGCTGGTAGTCTCTTTACCGTTTGACATCAAAAATACTAGCCAGTGCTTCCTTTTCCAACTGTGAGTAATTTCGCTCAGCCAGTGTCAGAGTTCGGGACGCGAACGCGAGTGGTGACTCCACGCCGTCCTTTCGATGCGAGAACACAGCGCCCACACCATACGGTGAAGCATCGCATGCCAGAACAAGCTCCAACCTGGTTTGGAGACCTCTTCAACTTTCTGGCGTATTTCCAGTACCCTTCAATCGGTAGCAGTTTCTCCCAGTTGAGTGGAGTTTACTTGCCGTGGAAGTAGGTCAAATGCTGCCATCCAGTCTCTTCAGAAGTGTCTGTTGACTTTTGGTCCCACCGAGGCTTACGTCCACTGTCAAAGTTCCTTGCACAGGAATGGGTCCACGGATGCACTTGAGCTTGATGTCTGTTTCAGCTGGTCTAAGCAGACTTTTCTGATGGCTCAGGTATGTATCCTCAGAGATCAGCGAGCCAGGGGATTTTGAATCTAGCTCCATCTCAAGTGGAAGTCCATTGACCATGAGTGTTACCATGATTGGTTTCGAAGTTGACTTTGCTTACAATGCATGCAAGTAGTACTCGGATGGTTCACCGCCTGGTTCCAGTGCGTTCACTTGTTTCGTGAACTGCTTCTTTGGCAAGTTGTTGTTTGTCTTCGACAAACAACGACTTGCCAGGTGCCCAACTTTTTCGCACTTGTAGCACTTTGTGTTGATGTGCAGGCAGTCCAGGGGCTTGAGATCCGGGGAACCACAACGAATGCAGGCACTTGCTTTGTCTTGTGGTCCTGGCTTCTTTTTAGCTGTGGCCTTTGGATCCTTCCATTTTTGGCCTTTAGGTCCCTGTTGACCATTTTTCTTCCTGTGGAACTTGAGATGATTGGTGGTACCTGCTTGGTTTCTCGAAGTGGGTGCACCCACATGGCCTCTTTGCATCTCGGTCGCGTTGCATTCCGCTGCTTCCGCCAACCTCGAGATTTCGACAGCCTTCTCCAAAGTTAGGTTTTTCTCCACCAACAGTCTTTGCTGCACAGTCTTGTCCCGTATCCCACACACGAGGCGGTCCCTCAGCATGCAGTTGAGAGCTGCTCCGAAGCTGCAGTGTTTTGCCATTTGCCAAAGTTCGGCGACGAACGTAGCGACGCTCTCGTTCTCGAGCAGTACTCGTGTGTTGGAGCGAAAACTCTCGGCGATTTTGGACGGTGGAGCGCTGCAGTGACTGTTCAAGGTAGCCATAAGGGGGGGGGGGGGGGCTCCGTGTACTTCCTCTCTTTTGGCTTTGCAGATGCTGGCAGACACCGGAGTGTCGCGTAGTTACTGGTCCTGACGGTTGATAGGAAGATCTATTACTTCTCATCGTCTTCGATGCCATTTGCATTGAAGAATGCGTCAACCCTTTCCGTGTAGAATAACCTAAGTTCCTTGTTGTTGTATTCATCTGCTTGCCAAAAGTCGCCATGTCCATATTTCCGGAATTCACGCACAGCGTAGCTTTGTAGAATTCCTACCGGGTTATCCCATGGTGCTGTTGCTTGGCGGCTTCTGCAGCTTGTCGTCGAACCGTTTCTCGTTGCCAATTGTTATAAACTTCGGGGTTGGGTTTTAAGTTTTAACATAGTACTTTAATAACTAATCACACGCGACCAGATTGACAGCAGCCTTCCATCCTCGCGGTTCGAGAGTCTGCCCCCTCTGACGAGAGTTTTTTTAGCCTTCCTCTGCGCAGTCATTACGGAGTGGGTCGGTGGCGCCATTTAGTGAGGGCGTACAAATACACTGCACAAACATATCTATCAGCCTCCGATACCGCAGCAGGAACATCCGGGGGGCGATCGCTCCCCAGACGTTTGAAATATTTAACGTAAACAATATGGGGGAGAGAGAAAAAGTGCCTTCCCCCAAGCATCTGCACGACTCGTGTAGATGCTTGGTCTTCAACCGTTCTGTAGGCACGAGAGAATCACCACATGGCCCACAGGAATTTATGGATAAACTGAAGAATTCACCCACGCTATTGAATCTGGCACTCGGCGCCAATAGCGAGCACCCGAATTTTCTTGGCAGTTTTAATTGTGTCAATTGTTAGCCGACATTCTTTTATCTCCATATTAATGGGCAACGGCATCGCGTAGTGCTAGTAAAAAGGGCTATCGAGGGAACAGGTGCACGCTTAGTGCTTTTCTTGTGCAAGCACTCGCATAAGAAAAGCACTCTCCTGAAACCAGGTGTTCGTGCCTTTTGCGGCACCACACGCAACTCTTCTCGAGATGGACCGGAGGGCATTTTCGTTGCAATCGCCGCAACTCATATTGACAGATTTTTTCTTTACGATTTTCAACAATTATTTTTTAGGTGATGTATCATAAAATTTGGGGCAATTGCTCACTTAAAATTCGGAGATAATCTCGAGAAAAAATGTTACGTCCAAAAACGTAAAAGCAGAGAAGGGCACCTGGTGACGTAGGCCCTCATCCGAGCCGAGAAGGGTGGGCCAGCGAGATGGCCTGGCAGAACCCCTAAATTTTAAAGCAGCTGCGCAACTCTCGTCAAACCTGCTTTGCACTGGCATTCTCACATTGAGCTTCACTGCCTCGCACCGGCACGCTTGAAAAATGCAGCTGACGCAGAGAAACAGCGCCGTTAGGTCAGTAGGCACGAAAGTTCCCTTGGGTCGGCACTTTGTGTGTCCCTTGCCTATATTTCAAATGTTTCAAACACAAGGGATGGGCACAGGTTCGCTATTTTACGGTACTATATGCTCTGGGACGGAGCCTGACACTACTTTATTAGAAATATGTTAAGGCAAACTCCGAATTATACTATTGCATTGGATGTTACAGAAATGCTGAGTCAATTTTTAAAGTTCTTTACAGCGAATTGTAATCTTTTACGGAATGAAAGGGAAAAATCCTCAACAAAAAATACGCAGACTCTCAATCAAATGACAATCACTCAGATAATTTGTAGGCTGAGCAAAATACCTGCGAGTACAACTGGAAGATTTTCAGAAAAGCGGTTTGCTGGTATACATTACAGCCACCCCCATTGAGGCTGGTTCACACACTTCTGTTTGGTTGCCACCAAGCGCCTCTTGCGATTGCGAGGCAAGGGCAGTGACTAGCAGCGTTTTGCTTTCAGAACCACTGGCGTACCCTCTGTTTGCCCTCATCCCCAAGGCTTGGGCATACCTGTTCTGCAACACCGTCATGCAGTATCCTTTTCTGTCGACCGGTCGATTCTGAACACTGCGCTCAGTTTGGCTTACTTATTGTACATACTGGTGCCATACCGATAGGCATAAGGCTTGGATTAAGGAACTTTTATAAAACGGAAATTGAAAGTGGTCCCACGCACAAGCTGGGGCTGGAGCCCCATGCTAGGGTACATTTTCACGTCCTTATTGCGCAATATGTTTGTAGGTTCCTGCTACTCTCTTCCCAGGGTCACATTTGTGACTCTGGGTTGGTGTACTTGTGTTGCGTATGTTTCACCAGCCGTGTGCCACATTATCTTTCTATTTCCACACTTTGAAAAATGAAACTGCTATAGGCTACAGCCTCTATCAATTTCATTTTTCAAAGTGTGCACAGATTATTTAGTGCAGATTCCAGTTAACGCCAAGAGCATGCTCTTGGCGTTAACTGGAATCTGTGCATTAAAATTTGATGGGGCTACGAAAGTAACGATCGCTGTGCCATTTGCGCCAAACTGCGCCCGTTACGTTTCACGAAAATATGGGTAATTTGCGCCAACATTGCGCAGAGAGCTAGTTTTGTGTCATCAGAACAGAAAAATTGTAGAGCCTTTCCACTTCCCGTGAAAATGGAAGACCAGCGAAGCTGTTATTTTTATGACGTCTAGGACAATGCATAGAGGACGACGTCTAGGATGACCTCAAGGACGACCTAAAGGACGACCTCGAGGACGACTTCGAGGATGACGTCTAGGACGACCTCGAGGACGACTTCTGGGACGGCCTCGAGGACAATGCCTGGAGGACGACTTCTAGGATGACTTCTAGGTTGACCTCAAGGACAACCTCAAGGACAACTTCTCGGACGACCTCGAGGATGACGTCTAGGACGACTTCTAGGACGGCCTCGAGGACGATGCCTAGAGATAACAAGGGATCAGGACCTCGCTATCTAATAATGCCGAGGAAGGCTTTCTCACGCTGGTTGCCCTCTTTCTAATTTTAATTTATTCATACTTGCCACGACCAATAGGGAGTTTTCTGTTAACATCCGTGGACGCATTTTTTCTCCCAGATCTTGGCGCATAACGGCTTCGCTTTAAAACTAATAGTTTGGTCATAGCTACACTGCCAGATTTCTACGGTAAGCTTACACAAATTTGCAACACTTTTATGTATTGCTCCGAATAACGTGCAATTTGATATGATCTTCGTATTGAACTTGACACAGTGCTCCAAAGTTTTGGGATATTTCTCAATGTTTGTGGTCTTTTCAGGTGGTTCATTTAGCTCTGTTGAGTGCGCTTCTCACCGTGCACCGGTGTACAAAAAAGCTGTACCCACGGTGTAGAATTCGCGATTTTGTCTGTGTGGTTTTGCCGCAGCACAGCCTTGTGTGGAGGTTTAAAACTCTCTTCTGGGGTGAAATGGTACATGGCCACACTTTGTGTATTAAAAATTTAATAAAAGTTAGTGAATGCTAATTGACAATATATACATGGCAGTAAAACTTGTACAATAAAATTGTGGATAGACTGGAACATTCTAACATCTGTTTCAGTTTTTTTTTTTTTTTATAGAATTGGAGGTTTAAGGTAGGTTACTTAGAACTTGGGTATTGGAAAACGGTTGATAAATCACAGTGATTAGGTGTAGCTGGGCTGCACCATAAGGTTAGTTTTCATGCTTAGTTAAAACCTCTAAATAGGCCCCCCCAACTGTTTGTGGACACATTCAATAAAATTTAAATTAAATTTTAATTGACTTAGCAGTAGAATGAAAGCTTGGAACTACCAATAATGAGTTCAGCTGTATTTTATAGCGAAGCTGTTATGCGCTAGGATCTGGGAAATGTGTCCACGGATGTTGACAGAAAACTCCCCATTGGTCGTGGCAAGTATGAATAAATAAAAATAAAAAGGGGGCAACCAGTATGAGTCAGCCTTCCTTGACATTATTAGTGAGGTCCGGATCTCTTATCATTTCTAGGCATCGTCCTTGAGGTCATCCTAGACGTCGTCCTAGAGGTTGTCTTAGAAGTCGTCCTTGAGGTCGTCGGAGAGGTTGTCCTAGAAGTCGACCTCTAGGCATTGTCCTAGACGTCATAAAAACAACAGCTTCGCTGGTCCTCCATCTTCATGTGAAGTGGAAGGGCTCTACAATTTTTTATGACATATTTATTCTCTACATGCTGACTTCACCATCATAAATATCCACTAGTAATGTGCCATTGATGCACAGAACTAAATTACCTTTGAAATTTAATTATGTGCTTCGCAGTAGATGCTAGCAAGTTGCACAGAAATGGAAGGGCAAATTCGAAGCACTGATTTTTTATTTGCACAGATTAAGGGGGGACACTACCCAAGAGGGTTAACTTTTAAACCTATGGCTTAATATGAATGAAATTTAGATTATATACTGGAAGTTGCAAGGCAGAATGCAGTGCAAAGTTTCATCAGTGTACATGAGCTGTAAAATAACTTGTAGTCATTTTTATCAGGAACACACCGACTTTGTTTAGGAAAACTATCGTTGGGAACCTAATGTAATACCAAACATTTTTCTACTCCAGATCTGCAGCAGAATGCCTGGAGAGTGCAGCTGTGAAAATTTCCAAAAAGTAATTTACTTTATGCTAGCATCGCAGTGAAAAATCAAATAAATTTTTTTGCCTTTTATGTCATCCACAAAATCTTAACATCTTTTATAAAAGACATCCACAAAGTAAAAAAACAATTCCATAGTTTCACTGCCCATAAAATTCCACTTAGGAAAAACAATAAGTGAGTCTTTCCTCTTGTCCCATTAACAAACGAGAGTTTTTCTAAAATGAAATTTATGCCAAAATGTGGAACGGAGAAAAATGTGTTCAAAGTGTCCTAACCCCTACCTTTGCTTTAGCTTCAATGGACCGAAAATTATTTATAAAAAATTAACTATGTGGTGTAAACTAATGAAACTTTCTGGAAACACTCTCCAGGTGCTGGTGGATGTAAATATGACATTTTTCAAAATCAACATTTTTTGCAGAAAAGTTTTTTTTTGGGTAGTGTCCCCCCTTAACGCATAAATTTTGAAATGGTATTCGCAGTGCAATGAAGTCTGCTTGTGCTCCAACAGTTTTTTTGCCCCTTTAAAAGGTGTTTGAAAATGTCTAACTAATGCATCACTGCATGCTTTTTAAAAGTACTACAAGTGTAGGATGTGAAAATTTACCGAATGCAGCTCCGTATAACAAGTGGCATTGTGCAGCCCGTTCACTTATCCCGCTCGTTTATTCGGCCCACGAGAGACCTTGATTGCACCCCCAGATATGTGTGCATCCGGTCGGTGTACGTACTGACCACCGAATGCTCCTCCCTGACGGTGACGCTGGTCATCACGTTGCGCAAGTTTGTGTCGCTGCTGCTGTCGCTCTACTACTTTCAAAACCCCTTCACGGCCGTCCACTGGTTCGGCACCGCCCTGGTGTTCACCGGCACCCTCGTGTTCACCGAAGTGTTCCCCCGCCTGCGTGCAGCCGTCCGGCCGCCCCTCAAAGCCGACTGATCCCACCCCGCCGTTTCTAGGACCGGGACAATGAGTGCTCTATACAAGCTTCGCAAAAGATCCAGGTGCTGCGCCACAACGGAGTCCGACGACCGGACCTGCTCCAAGCCGTGCCCATCGACTTGCATGGAGGGTGGAGTGAGCGTCGTGTTTTTGGCTACGGCGACGTGGCTGCGGGCGAGGTGTCGGCATTGCACCGCTTTCTGCAACGTGGCGACACCTCATCTGTAGTCGTCGACGAAATGAGAGGGAGGGGGGGGGGGGGGGGGGGGGCACTTCTTTCAAATGTGAAACTCCTTGTCATTTTAATCCTGTCAGTCACCATGACTAAACATATTTAATTTCGAGTTACGTCACACCGTTCCAGACAGCACAGCTCCAAGCTCGCGGCTTTTGGATGTGCTTGTGCAAACCAAACGTGCTGAACCACTCCCGTGCCTCGGGCAGTGCCGCCCGCAACTCATGAAATGCAGTGTGGTGCGCAGGTCATGCCGTGTCAACTTCGCTTCTCAACTGAATAAAAATCTCGGTAGTAAGCTTTACGCAGTTGCTCATTTCGCCGGTTGGGGCATGGGGACGAGAGTATGGACTTGTGCCCGCGTCCACACCAGCACTGAGCACGACTCTTTGTGTAGACCGACACACTGTTTACAAACAAGCTCGCGTTTGCCCACACCAGGTGTGGGCACTGCGCATGCGCAGAAACCGAATTCGCGCGAAGTGAAGCGTCTGTACATCTGCAGTGCCGTCGACAGCGCCACCGCAGCTGCACAACGTCAGGGCGGCGTGTTGGTCTATAGGGCATGTTGTGCGGCAAGTAAATAGTAGAAGGGGAATGATGTAGGGCTAGTGGGTTGTTTCAGGGGGGCATCTCAACTGCTTCTTTTTCGAGTGGAGATGCGAAGAGTGAAAAATGGGCAGAAAACTATAAGGGGGAAAAGGGGAAGCGGGAAAGAGCAAATACTTTTGAAAGATGCTAGACAGCATTTTTTTTGTGACCATCTCCCAATATCTTTGAAGAATGGGTCATGTGCCTAGTGCTAAAGTCGGTTCTAACTTCTTACTAGGTACATCTGTTGCATGCTCTGGTTATTTTAGGTCAAATGTACTGATAAACATTCTTTACGAAGAAAGCAAAAAGAGAAAAGAAAACGTTCAGCCTTTCCACTCTCGTGAGGAAGGAAGACCTGCGGAGCTGTACTCGATACACTTTGTGCTTCTTCCTCGTCGTCGTTTGTTTTTCGCGCCGTTTCCTACAATGAATTCCCACCATCGAGCCCAACTATCCATTCTTCTATTATAGCTGGAAAGGTTGCCGCCATCTACAAGTGACGGCAGAAACCATACTGGTTGTGTGCTTGCTGCCATCGCTTATAGATGGCGGTAGCTGTCCAGGTAGGTTTGTGTCGACGTACCGGACACAATCCTGGGGAACCTAGCCCTTAACAGCTTTGCTGTAAAAAGTTGCAACAGCCGCATGTTTGGTTGACAGACACCTTGGGAGGACTTTCCTTTGAAGCATTCACTGGCAGCCATAGCTGTGTGCGCGACTGCTGAGCGCGTTGACAGCAAGCATGCAGTTCTTTTGCAATGTGAACTACAAACCATCAAGGTTGCCGGTCGTAGCAGCCTATTAGCGAGAGCTCGTTCTGAGCATATATGACGTCCAGTGAATATCCCATATATGGAAGTACAACTATTTGCCCCACCTACGTGTTTGTGCGTCATGGTCAGTTACTGTCCTTCATGTTTCATTTTTGCTATAAATATTTTTCTTTATATATTTCAGGGGCAAGGAAGGAACATTTTATATTTAGTACTCCATTGCTTTATTTTCTAACAATTGCCATAACCATGTCTATAAAGAATTTTTTTTTGTATTTTATTTCTTGTGGTTTAAACTTTTTAACTCGTTTATTTTCCTGGTCTTTTTTTTTGTGCTGTTTTGGTTATTGCATTTAAAGAAGGCAAGTCTTCCCAAATCATATGTCAATTAAAGTATCTGCTGCTACTTAAACTTTGGGCTGCAAGGACTCATTCACTACGGTGACTATAGCAGAACCTCCACATTCGCAGACACACTCAGTGTACCAGAGTCAAATCATGGCATCATGGTCACGGTGTCTTGGCGCCTCCGTGGCATGCAGACCTGCAGGATGTTGGATAATAGCATCGTCCAACACCCGACTTCCGGCGGCAAGCTTTCCGAAAGGGCCACGCACATCTCGTGTCATGAAATGATCAGCCTTTATTTGTACGATTTCACAGCAGAAATTGAGCTACGGGCCAACTGTCATTCCGCACCGCACGAGGAGCAAAGTCGGCTCCTTAAAGTATCATTGCTTAGGATGGACTGCGCTCGGCAAAGTGCCATGACCCCCCAAACAGCCAGGGTTGGTCGGACAGCGTGGACGGAGGTCTCAAACAGACGTTCAAATGAAAGAACTGTGTATTTCGCGGATGACTATGTTCCCTGGTCGACGCGTGACTCCGGGCACTTTTCCGGGGCCGCCAGCGCCGTATTGCACTTGAGCCGCACATGGTTGGCTGGACCACGTGTTGCGTCTACCGCCGTCAGATGCCGTAGATGCGACGCGTGTTGACGCGCACTGCCTTGAGGACGTCTTCCACGGAAATGTTCTTGAGGGAGGACACCTTGAGGGCTACGTGGATGGCCATGCCTGGGTGAGACTGGCGCATGGCTCCGGACTCCTGCAACAGGCAAAACCACTGGTTCCCAGCGCTACGGCGTGTGAAGTGCCCTGCTGTTTGCTTTTACCCGCCGGAGGCTATCGGGAGTAAACACTATTCGGTTCAAGCTAGGCAATACATATTTACGCACCGCAGAAACACACATCTAGATAGAAACACACATCTAGATAGATAGAGAATAGAGACTTCATTGTACTGTCCGTTTTTTTATTTTTCCTTCGTCTCAGGGTTATTATGGATACCATTCACCAGCTCGCCTGTGTTTTTTACCTTTCTTCACTAATTAGAATAAAGGAGCGAAACGTGCAACAGCTCTGTACAGGACAGGTGTGCTCTACAAATACTCCCAACTTGCGACTCACTTTGAGGTTCTAATTGGCTCGCAGGGCCATAGCTTTTGCAGTCTTCCAAGTTATGCCGAAACTAAGGTGACTCATTGTCCTTCTGTTTGAGGAGATGCCATTCTTTGAAGTACCCAATGTCAACAACATGCGCCCTCGAGAAAAATTTTAAAAAATGGCTTGTAACAATATACTGCCATAGCACAGTCGATGCCAAGAGCTCGTGCCTGGAGATGCGCTTTGACGCACTCCGGAACAAAAACAAAAAAGGAACAAAAGTGTCGCAAACAAATTGGTTGGATGTCATCGCCGTAACCGAAGTGCACATGAGGGCACTCTAAGTGAAGTTGGCTGCTGCTACACGATAATAATCTTATTAACATTAATTTTGGCCAGGAAGAGCCGTGGTGCCCCAGAAAGGCAAGCACTAACCCACACCATATAGACTCAAGGTGCCACATGCATAGTCTGTTGGAGGTTCAGCAAAGCAAGACAAGGCCCTTCCCCAAAGCTCCTTGTTCGCCAGGATTGCTGGTTTCCTTCCCTGCTCTATTCCTCTCTAGCATTCACTCTCCGTAAAGGGATACGGAATCGCTCCTTAAAGGGATACCGAATAGAAATTTCGAGCTCACAAAACTGGAGTGATAGGCGGGACGCTGCAGAACCCAAAAGCACCATTCCGACATCTCTAACGTATTTTTGGAAATGGACGAGGCTGACGAGACATGTCACGTCACGATTCTCGTTCCCTCTCCTCCTCACTTCGTCCCGTCAAGCTGGTAAAACCAAACTGAGGAGAAAAGCGATGTTGCTTCCCCTCATTCTCAACTGTTCCAGGAGGATCATGACATCCCATTCCTCACTTAATTGTGCCCTTCTTTTCCTAAAATACAGCCACTTGCTTGACATATCGGTGTATGAGGGAGGTCTGAGTTTGTAGCGACCCGTTCAATGATTCTGCGGCCTTATTTTGCAAAATCCAAATTTCGGCTCAGTGGAGCTTGCCCCGCCTTTCAAGACTCTAGTGGCAGTACAACATGAAAGAGCTGTTATTAGTAGTCTGGTGAAAAGTGCTGAATTGGAACAGTAAGCTAAACAGTAAGCTTTGGTGTGCACAAATACCCTTTAAAAGTCAAAGGCAAAAAAGAAATGCCCATGTCGCATTTGCATTATAGCAACAGACAAAATGAAAATGGCAGGGCATCTCTTTCGAACAACCGAGCCTCCAGCATTCGCTCGTTGCCTTCTGCCGTGCCTCGAGGCCGCGTGTGCTTGCTCGAGGCTCGTGCAAGATGCTGAAGCGCGGGAAGCTCGCGCGGCGGTGAGACAATCAAAACTCCTCCCTGCCATTTTCGTCTCGTCGGCGACTCTAAAAGCGACAGGCAGCGTGCAAGAACTCACCGCCCGGGGCAGGAAGTAGGGGGCGTCTGTCTCAAGCAGCAGTCGGTCCAGGGGAATCCTACGCGCCACCTCCTGGAGGGGCCCCGCGTCGGCAAAACCCACCAGCGGGGTGAGCCCCAGGCAGAGGCCCGGGAAGGTCTCCAGCCAGTCCACTGCCTCCGCCCAGTCCCCCGTGAAGCAGTGCCGGTGGACGGGGTACTCCCGTGGGATGTTCTGCGAGGTCGGGCCCCCTTCAGACGACAGACCCTTCTCACCATGGGGGTAGCAAGCTTCTGGACCCACCAGAAATGAAGCCAGAAGTGTGGAGGGACACGCCCCCAACGATGACCAAAACCACGCCTGTTTTGGTCGTCATAGGGGGAGTGTCTCTCCACGCTTCTGGATTCACCTCTGGTGGTGTCGTGTCGCCTCCAGAAGCTTCCTACCTCTATGCTTCTCACGGTTCGGTGCTATGTCATGGCTCGACGAGCAGTTTCACTTTTGGCGAGCTAATGGCAGTCATGAAACTGTTTTTCGTCGGGCACTTTCACGCGTCGACGGCGGACAAGAACTGGTCCTTCGGTCGCCTCGTAATTCTTTCTAGATTTATTTCGCTTTCGACGGCGCAAACGCGAGAATTGACTAATACAAAATGGCAACCCGTAAGCCCCTCTATTAAATTTCCACCATCAAATTGCTTTATAGTAGGGGTGTGCGAATAATCGAAATTTTGAATACAAATAGAATATTTTCCTTATTCGAAACATTTGATTCGAAAATTGCATATAACGGCGAATATTTGCACAAACTATGAATATTCTAGCAAGTAATGAATAATCTGCTTGCCACGCATTCCCCTATGGATATGTTTATTCATTGAGAAAGGTGTATGCTGCGTGCGTTATCAGTCTGCTTTGTTTCTATCTGTCCGATGGGAGCAAGACAGGATCAGTTTCAGTTTCTTTTTCACCAAGCCCTTTGTTCTGTGGCGTTTTTATAGCAATATGTGATGTAATCGAGCGTTCTATAAATTGATGCAATAAAATAAACCTCAAGAGTGAAATATAAATATAAAATAAATCTCGAGAATGTTTTCTAATATAAATGTTTGAAAATTAAAAAAAAGAGAAAAAGCTAGGTGCGAGCAGAACATTTGCGTCGCCATTGGCAACAACTCCTGCCACTCCTGCGCAGTTAAAACTAGGGATGTCGCGAACCTGCCCAGGTTCAAGTTCGACTAAGTTCGACAAAAGTTTGACTGAAGTTCTACTTTAGTGCAAGAAAATTAAGAAAAAAAAACTAGTTGATTCACCTGGCGGAGGAAAAGTGCAATATTTGTTGAGTTTATTGGCATCACTGGTTCACTAACTGATGAAAGCGATAAAAGCGCATATTTTCGCTTTTATATGGTGTAAACACTGGTAAACATTTTATAAAATATAAAATAAACTACTTTCTAAACTTTTTGTTTCCCAAAATTCGAAATATTCGTGTAGCAGCCGGGCAACACTGCCCATAAGTCAAACTTCTTCGAACTTTAGTGAAATTTTGCAGGCTTCCCGATTAAAGGGTCTTTCTACTGGTGGAAATGTCACGGCGCAGTTAATTTTCCTATATGGTAATTTGTAATGAGTGCATTACTAGAAGCATCTTTACCCTGCTGCAGCCCAATACAAGACACATATTCGCTATTCGATTCAATATTCGAAGCCCGTTTTTTATGTCTTATTCGTATTCGATTCGTATTCGAAAATTTCAATATTCGTACACCCCTATTTTTTGTAGCCAAACTTGTGCCGAGAGATTGATTGGACCATACTCCGAAATAAACGACAACGCAGCCGTGGTATGTAATTTGTGTGTAGTGTTAAACAGACTTCTCAAACGTATGGGCCTCAAATGTCATCTGCTTGGTAGTATATCTTCAACTTCTCCTTTCATCAGCCTCAAGTAGGCCACCATTAGTTTGCCATAGATGCCATACATTGAGATGATGATAATGATCACAATCACCAGACTGAATTTTGAAAAGGGCTTGTTGTTATGTAAAAGGCTATACTCATTATCAACTACTCTGTGGTACATTGTCGAGGCTGGTGTAGCTTCCGCAGTGCTCCAACGCCATCTGAGCTATAGTTACGAGAGCGAGTGGGAATGAGACGCAAAAATTCCAAGGATACCTGAGCACTTCTTACAAGTTGTGAATGCGAAAGCATGAATGTCGTTCTTCCACTCCCTTAGTTCGTCTGCGGCGTAGTGGTGTGGACGGCCACGTTTCACAACTGCCAAGGGAGAGACCGACGGCATTTGTGCTTGTGGTTGCGCGGCGCTGAGCTCGGCCGAGCAGCCCCTCCGGAGTCTGCCCAAGCGGGCTCTGCGGCCAGGCCCACACCTCTTACCAGCGGCCGGGCCGCTGCGTGCACTGCGCCGCCATGGAGAGGGCTTCTCCGGTGGCGTTCCTTGGAACCACGCCGTGCGAGAGCCAATGGGAGCCTTGTTCCTTGAAACTATGACACGCGCCAGCCAATGGGAGCCTATCCATCAGATTTCTGCTACAGACGACAGGACAGGGGAAGGTGCCGTTTGGTGTGGCTTCAAAAGCTGATGACGTCGGCTCGCTCCACGGGATGGTTAATGCTCTCGCATTAAAACAGTCACTGGCTCTCGCGGCAGTACGGGCTGCAGCACTGAGGAAGTTACACTGGCCTCAACAATGCCGCACAAAATAGTTAATGCCGAGCATAGTATACTTTCTTGTAAAACAACCTCTGGTGTTTGGCTGAAAATGTTGCCACAGCCTCAACGCTGCGCAGAGGTAGCATATTTGCAGGTCTGACTGGAGAGCCTCAGAGTTGAGAACCATCAAAACGTGCGTTTCTACCAAAACTGCCAAAAGAAAGAAGAAAAAAAACGTTCAGCCTTTCCACTCTCGTGAAGAAGGAAGACCAGCGGAGCTGTACTCGATACACTGCTGCAACGCGCACGCGCCCATTTCCCGCTTCTTCTTGTCCGACACGCCGCCGATCGTGTATACGTCTCCGGCGACCCAGAGTCGGTCGCACACGGCGCACGTGACGCCAAACGGGTAATCCACGAACTCCCTCCGGAACATCGCCGTCGCGCCTGGGAACTGCTCAGCCGGCGTGAAGAGCGGTCGTCGCCGGGCCTCGCGCTTGCACTTGGCCTCCGTGGCACGATCGGCGTCCGTGGCGTTGGCCCGCCGGCGCCCTTTACATCGCTGGTTCTGTTCTCGGCGGCGGCTTTCCAGGCGAGCAATGTGCTCTTCTTTGGCAAGGGAATCTGAAGCGCTCGACGCAATGGAAGTCGAGGCAGCAGCGGCTTTGCAGCGATTACGGACCCATTCGCGCTGCTGCATACGTCGCCGCTCCTTCCGCAGCCAGTCTTCTTTCACCAAGAAGGCGCGCGGCCGACTCATCCTAAGTCCAAACTGAAACTGATAAGAGCGTAGGAAACAGCGCGCAAAACAGACGAGGACGAAGAAACACACGTGATGAGCGCTGCGCTCGTTACGTATGCTTCTTTGCCGTCGTCCGTTTTTCACACTGTTTCTTACCATGAATTCCTACTAACGCGCCGCCCAACTATCCATTGTTCAACGATAGCTGGAAAGGTTGGCGTCATCTACAAGCGATGGCGGCAACCATACTGGTTGTGTGCTTGCCGCCGTCGCTTATAGATGGCAATACCTGTCCAGAGGCGTTTTTGTTGACAAGTGTCTTGTACCGGACACGATCTTCGGGAACCTAGCCCTTAATAGCTCTGCTGTAGAAAAACCTTCAAAGCACATTTTACAAACTGTTTTTTGTTGCGTTTTGTTTTTTCTACAAGGAATGACAGCGCGAGTGGAAAAGAACGCACCTCCTTGAGGATATTGAGTGTGTCCTGTGTGGCTTCCCTCGAGTGGATGACCAAGGGCAGCTTGCGTTCCAGGGCCAGTGTGATCTGCCTCTGGAACACCGACTTCTGCATCTCCCGCTGGCAGAAGTTCCTGGCAACGAGAAGTTTACGCCCCCCCACATCAGTCTTTACAAAAAGACATCAGGATGGCAACACGGACCATTACCTTAGGTTGAGCAATACCCCCCCCCCCCCCCCCGTGATTCACTCAATGTATGTAGAGTTAAACGGAGGCAAACTAAATAAAAATGGGCCAAGAAGAGACCAGCATGAGTAAACTTGTTGATGGGGATCAGTGAGGGTCAGCGAGAGAAAACGGATGCACAAATTCTTTCACCATCAACCAATGCAATATCTCAGATTAGGCCTCGTGCAATTTGAATTACCAGTTTAAAGGGGCAGCGCCACTATTTTCATACTTTCATAAATATCACTTCGAATTAATCCTCTACGTTCATAACCTGCGAGACATACGTTCATTTTCCTCGCCGCGCATAGCAGTCGCAGAAAACATTTAGAGAAAAACTAGTAGCGTTCATCTTTTCAACTTGCAGCTGGAACATGCGGCCAAGTGATTTGGCACCCATTAGCATATGCTGTCAACGTTCACGGCCATGCACCAGAGTAGGCAAAGTACACGGCAAATGCAGAGCATGTACAACCTATGAGGCACATTTGAATGTCGTCACAGCGGGTATTCCCCGCGACTATATCAGGCTCGTAGCCAGAACTTTTCTGGGTGAGGGGGGCTTTCACTAGCTGAAGCTAGCGGCCCCCCCACCACTAGCTTCCAGCACGCACTCTTTGCCTTTCGCCATGCATTGGCTGTGTGCATGTGCTAAAGCGTTGTCGGAGGTAGGATGCTCACTGCTGCTCCCCTCCTGATGTTCCCATCTTGTTGGCAACTGTAGTCGTTCGTACATGCCAAATGCACGTGCACCCACAAGAGACGCCTGCATGACCTTGGATGCGACGGCACTTACTTGCGGGAGTAGTCGAGGCCAATCTCCCCGAGCGCCACCACCCGCGGGTGCTCCAGCGCCTTGATGAGGTGCTCGTCCGTCTCCTCGTCGTAGTCGCGCACCATGTGCGGGTGGCACCCGAAGGCTGCCCAGACGCCGTCCTCGCGCAACAGGTCCTCCCACACCGTCCGCTGTCAGAAGAGGTGGCGTCACACAAACTGGCCCCGATTTTACGCGCAGTTCACCGACGCATCCTACGGAAACCCGTAGGAAGAAACGCTTTAATGGCGATGGCTATCATTGGCAAGCTTTCGCGGCGGATCCCGTATGCATTTCATGTACGTCGTGGCTCAGTAAATTTAGCGGGGAAATTTGCTGCCAAACGTAGCGGGAATTTAGTGTTGCGTCACATTACGGTGTCATGTGGGGAGGGAGAGGAAAATGTCACTCGCCTTCCCCCCGCCCCCGCCGTCACCCCCCCAACTCCCATATAGTTCCGATGCTTCTGGTTGCGTCGTGTCGTGGCATCGCACAATGTGACAGCGTAACATGAGCACAGTCCTCTATATTTGGCGTTGCAACTCCACTAAATGTAAACATGGCAGTGTAACTGCGTGCAGTAGCGTGCAGCGTCTCTGCCGTCGTCGCAGTGCATTTGCATGACGCAACAAGGAACAGGGAGCTCGCTTTTTTTCTTGCTTTTGCTCCTGGTCGGGAGAAAGGGTTCAGGTCCGGTTCAGATACGGAGTAAAAGAAGAGTGGTCCATACCAGTTCCTATTTGCATGTTAATAAAAAGAACTAGCCAAGCTGTCAACCGTTAATTGTTTGCAACAAAACCAAGAAGCCTAGCTGTTTTGGGCTCCGGAGGTTATGCAGTTCACGACATAGGAATCGCAATGCTAGACCCGACCAAAGCGCAGGTGCGGAAATTTCCCAGTCATGAATAGAGGAAAGTTTTCTCGAGCTAGAAAAACCTTGGTTTTCCAGTCTTTTGGCAGAGTTCCGCGGCTTTGTCACATTTAATCGGTGTGGTTCACTCGTCTGCATATTTTGACTATATATTTTTCTCGTGCACACAAAACTAACGCTCAGTACTTTTGGCTACATTCCGTTCCATTCAGGTCTGCAGAAAAGTAACCTTATTTTTTTTCGGTTTTTGGTTTGATATTTTAGAATTCACGACAAGACAATCAGCATTGAGTTAAGGTATGATTTGCAAGCGCATTCTCCAATTATGCAGACCTAGCCATTGTGCAAGCTACATCAGACTGATATCCGTGGGTCGGCCAGTTCAGGTTTGAAAACGAGGCCGCACAAAGCAAAGGGCCACGTACGTCGCCGAAGGTGAGGGGGTTGCAGAAGATGGCCACGCATCCCTCGTAGCAGCTGGGAAAGGTGTCTTGGTTGAGCAGACGGAACTTGGCAAAGGTGCCCCTGGAACAGCAGCAAACCAATGAAGGTGGTGGCACAAAAATATTGACGTTGAAATGTTCTTTCGTTCGCAGAACTAAAGTTTGGCTTTAAACCTTTGCCTGCATTTTTCAAAACAAGCAGCACTTGTTGTGTGTTTGCCTGGTAAAAGTGATCCAAAAGACTGAGGTTCACAGGAGTGCCCTCTTGCGAAGCGTTGTTCGGTGCTCTTGTTGGCTCACCAGAAGCTCCTTGATGCGCTTGTGTCTGCCTTAAGAGTAGCAACAAATGCCTAAATGTGTGAGGTGCACGCCCCGTGCGGTTCTCGGTAGCACATGGTGTCAATGCATTTGCTCGTGGCACGTCTTTCGCATGTTTGCGCAACAAAGATCGTCAGTACTTGGAAACACGAAGCATGAATTTTCTCAAGGGGCTTCAGGCTCACCGGGTCTGTAGCTTTAAACTTCAGTAAAGTTATGCTGAAATGGTTCTCGATTCCTGTAGGTAGATCTGGCCAAGCATGCTGGTCATCCACGGCACTAACCGCAGCACAGCCACAACACTGTTTTTCCACGAAACCTACCGAATCTGTCGTTGATCTTGTTCGGTTTTCCCCCAGTGAATCCCCTCACCACGGCAACCGGTCGACCGGCTGGCAGGCACACGTAGACGAGGGTCGTAACCTTTCTGCTTAGCCTCGCACGTCGTCGTGTACAATGCAAACTTGTGGGCAGCTCTGATACTATAAAGTAGTTTAAAGGGGCCCTGCAAGGACTTTTTTATTGGTTTTTAATTTGCACCGAACCTGAGCGCACTAAACGTAGTAACTTAATTAAACTTTTTTTTTTCTCGAATTTCGCTTTATTTTAAAAGTTAAAGGCAAATTAAAATTACAAAAACAAGCAAACAATAACCTCCTTCATGACGTCTTTGGCCGCTTGAGTGGCCGTGAACTAAAGGAGGGGTAGTGAGCTCAGCGAGCGCTCACGGCTGCCGCACTCCGCGTGTGTTGTGTGGTAGCCGTGTGGTAGCCTCATGGCTACCACACAACACACGCATGCTCAATTACGGTACTCGGTGTAGTTTAGGTTTTGAAAGGTGACCGAAATTGGTGTTATGGCGCAGGCTTGGCGCAGATTACCCTTATTTTGGCAAAATGTAGCAGGATGTAGAAGGGTTAGCTCTTTGGCGCAGTTTGGCGCAATTGGCACAGCAATCACATCACTGAAAGAAGCTTCTAGCGGCTCTGACCAATAGTAAGCCCACGACCAAATACCTCACATTTTGCGCGCTTTCGGCAGAGTGGGTCACCCCTATAGGTGGAAGAGGTTTCCGCGTCGTCCGATTAAAATATGACACACTGATATTTAGTTACTCTCTCCGTGCCCGCTGGCTTGCCCGAAGCCCAAGAGATGTGGAAACCGCAAAAAAGCTAGACGCTTAAATATGATTGCAGGGCCCCTTTAAACACATTCCATGTAAATAAATTCCCTCACATCACTCACTTGAAGGAAAGCTTGCGGAAGAGGAAGTCTAGGTGACAGTGGGTGTCCACCATCCCCACCGAGGAGCTCAGAGCGTAGGGCCAACGCTTGCTGGCCAAGGGCGACGCCGGCGTCGGCAGCCGGGGACAGAAGTCGAGGCGCCGCCGCGGCCAGTCGGGCACCACCGCTGGTGGGCTGCAGCCGGGTGAAGGGACCGGCCGGAACACTACCTCTGCCACGTCTTCGTATCGGCTGCCCACGATTCCGAGCGAGAGGGGAGCGCTGTGCTCCTGCACGGTACCAGAACGCTTGCTCGAACCACAGGCTTCTACCCACAGCTTAAGCCACCACGTGTTCTTAGCAGCAAGTTACACCTCCCCTGAGTTACTCCTAGCAGTGACTTATACCCCCGAGTTACACCTCATTTGAGTGACAGCCCCCGGCATTTCCGGTGCTGTGCGAAATATACAAACCTACGATACACTCCCCAAGGAACACCCACTGATATTTTAAATGCACAGCATTTATAGGGCCAGTCAGAATTTTTTCGTCTATGGCACGCAGCTTCAATGATGTCACAATGTCATGTGACATTGTGATGTCACATGACTGATGTCATGCAACACTGTGGTGTCACATGATGTCATGTAACGTGATAAATGTGAAAGTGACATCACAGCGTCACGTAGCACTGCGACGTCATTATATATCCACAAAAACCCTCGCAATATGCCCTTCAGTGGCCTCCTTAAGTGCGGTCCAAACCGACACGTATTCCAAACATGTGCGCCAAAACCCGTGTGATTCTCGTTTCTGGTTCTGACATCACTGCTCCGTTTTTTCATGTTTTCTTGCACATTTAGAGTTCAAATATTTCAACTTTTCCAGGTGCCCGTGTTGTGACATACAGTGAAACCCGTTTAGAACGAACCCACGTACAGCGAATTATTGTCTTTATCGAACTCGCGGAAAATTTAAATAAATAGGCATGTAAAAATTACTTTTTATAACGAACAACATTTTGGCTATATCGAACTTTTCCCCCCAGGAATGCTTCTAAAAACATGCAAACAATAGTCTTCTAGCCCATCTTTTCCCCCCCCCAAAAAAACGTACGACAGAAAGAAAATTGCAAAAGCTCAAGTTGCAAACAAAATTGATCGAAGAGAAGCGATTCAGAAGGGGAGAAAGCTAAAAAATACTCTGCATGCACGCACAGAAAAAATACATTTTCATCCCACGAAGAGAGGCGATTTAGAAGGGGAGATAAGCTAAAAAAACAAACTCTGCGATTTAGAAGGGGAGATAAGCTAAAAAAACAAACTCTGCATGCATGCAAAAAAAAAAAAAATAATACTTTCTGGCGCGTGTTTACAAGGCGGAAGCGAAGAGATGAGAGCGAAAAAGAAGCTCTCACCTTACTACGAACGCATCGTGGAAGTTCGTTGCATATGGTTTGTGCTATATCGAACTGATCGTAGCGTTTCCTGCTGTTCGTTATAAACAGGTTTGACTGTAGGCGCCCGTATTGGGGGGGGGTAGCTAGTCACGGAGCGCGCTTCCTTCCCGCCTGTGATCACGTGCTCTTTGCATGCTTGACGAACAAACGCTGTCTCTGACACTGGCTATGCTGATGTCGCCAACACGGGGTTGGCCAGGCGCACTGCTGCCGGCTTCTCGCATTGATTCTTCTGCGCTTAACCTTTCCAAGCCATGTCTCTCTCGTCGCAAATTTATGTTGGTATCCGCCTTTGTGCGCAGCAGTTTCAGTGCAACGACATAAGAATTCGCCTGTTGTTTTGTCCACAACTGTTTAATGTCTCCATGCTTGGTCGAGCCAAGCACGTAGACAAGGTGCCCGTCGATACCGGAGGAAGGTTTGCCGGCACAGCTTTTTTGTTCATCAAGTTGCATCGCAAACTCGTGTCGCTGTGATGGTTTCTGTAGGATGACGTGAAAATGCTGTACTCGCCACATGCTCTCCGTCTACACCTCGGCTGGCTTTATTAAATGAAAGATGCCTACTGAAACGACTCCCCCTAAACAGTTTTCACTCATCTGTGAAATGTGGCGTTCGTGCCAAGTATCGTAATTTGAGATTAGTCGCGTAATAAACCAGGTAAGCAATGGTTGCTTTGCCCTATCATTGTCGCACATTGAGGCTTCGTGGGACAAAGTTACAATCATGCCCTGCCATCACCCTCTTTGTTTCGACACGAAGTAGAAAGTTTTAGAGTGAAACTTTTTAGGCTAGATTTTCAGATTAAGTGAAGCCACAGAAAGAGTAACCGCAAGTTAGTGGAGCTAGCACCATTTACTCCACTAACTCTTACTAACAAGCTAACTCTAACACTAACTCCACTAAACACTTGGTTTAGCACAAGTGGTTTGGCACCACTGGCACTGAACCAACATTGTTTCACGTAGCAACACAATGTGGAACAATTTGTGATACATTTTTTCGTCCCTCTTCTCAGTTTCCTGCGAAGTAGTGAAGGTACCACATAGCTCTGTATCTTCTCGGCGATCCTGAATTTCACAAAAAAGGAGGGTGTGCGTGTTCAGATTAATGTCAACACACACTCGGTATCTTGTGATGTCCCGGGGTTTAAAGGGATGGTTGATTGGATCTGTCTCCTTCACTGGTCTAAGCACACACTTAAAATTTTGTAAAACCAAATTTTTTTTTTCTTTTTAGGTTTTATTTTTTCTGTTGTTTTAGAATAGTAAAAGGAGGAAAGGAGGGGGGGGGGGGAACTAAGGAGGGATACAACTGGCTCTGCAGCACTCAGCTCCGAAAGGAAGTTGAAGATTGCCCCAGAAAATACTAATTAATTAAGGTGCAGAGAATGTGCACGGCATCCGCTGGATTTCAACCAAATGCATTGGTTGGAAGCAAGAGGTGAGCTACCATTTCATTAGCTGATGGGACAATAATGTCACATGATCATAGTATAACTTTTATCTGGCAACTTTCTTAAATTCAAGGTGTTAAACTCCTTAGTAGGAACTCTTCTGGTCAACAAGGAGGAAGCAGTTTATATAAAAATTCTACAAGTCACACTGTTTTGTTACTATGGTAGCTTTTTGCCACCCTTTATCTCAACAACACAGGCAGAAAGAGCCCTTGGAAGTATGGATTAATCGATGCAAAGAACAGTGAGCACCATATTTGCTGCATTGAAGATAACCGAGTCTTAATTCCCGCTTTAACCGTTCTTTGACGCTTTCAATTGTATTGTATGCCATGCACCCACAGTCGCCTCGTGGCAGAATGCACTATCTGCAAAACTGCAGCGATAGATATGGTGGCTGGCTACCTGGTCAAGCCAGGTACAAGTCAAGTTTCCAAAGGAATCCATCATTCATTTAACGTGAGTGCACAAGCATTAATATTTCTTTCAAACCGTGTGAACGTAGACCTCCACATTATACTAGAGAATTTTAATTTCTGTACCCGTGATTTTTAATATATGAGAAAATGATAGAGCTTGACCATAGAACCATGGCATGGAACACTGAGTGCCTGTCTATATTAGTATGGTAGTGTTACAACAGTCATGATAAATGTAATCACAGCGAATGATATTAACCCATTTTTTTCCCGAAGCGCGGTATAAAATTGCTGTCCCAGGATCTGTGATGAGCTTTGATAAGTGTGGGTTTACCGACCTCCCATAGATGGTCCATGTGACAAGTGTATGCTTTGTCACTTTTTACACCTCAAAAGTCGCACCAAATAATTTTGCGCTGCCATATGCTCACTGGCTAGTACAAGCAATGAGAATATAAGACATTCCCCTGAAATAATTTTTCAAATATTTTAGGCACTACACGGATTAAAGAAGAAGCTCAGCCCAAAAGCTCGATTTAACTTAGACAATGAACAATCCACATACCAGATCATCCTGGCAGCGTATCCGGTAGGTGCTGGGGCCGCTCCACTGCAAGCAGTCACCAGCCCTCCCAGCATACATTGCGCTCGAAGCCGGAGATGCCAGCCTGCTGAGCTGCAGCAAGCTCATGTCAGGGGTGCATCGACTGCGCTTGGCAGACGGCGTACCATCCTCCACTCCACGCTTCATCGGGCCAAGGTACCGCTGCGCTTCGTAGCAGCTGACTGGCGTCTTGTCCAACAGGTTGGCCGGCAAGTCAGCCACGCACGAATGAATAGCTAGTGAATGAGCGTCCGGTAACTGTGCTGCAGGCGAGTTATCGCAGGACGAGTCCACGGTGAACTGGCCCCCGTCTGGCAGGTGGCAGTCTTGCGCAAACAAGTTTACCTTCTCTAGGTTTTCGTGCAGCTCGCAGAGGGTGCTCACCCCGTCTGAAGAGGCGCTCTCGTCTTCCGAGGTCAGGTCCTTCTCGACGTCACGGGCAAGGCAGGATCGGACAAGATTGTCGGAGGGCACCATCGAATAGACGTTGGCTCCACCGTCGCCGGAGGTCTGAATTTCACAAGCGGAAAGCCGCTCGCCTGGTTGGCTGCTGCCGTTGCTGCTTTGCCCGAAGCCAGGGTTAGCGCCGAAAAGACTTGCTGCGATTCTGGTATGGGGCTGCCGGGGACAGACACCCTGAGGCCGGGATGGCTCCGAGGCCAGAGTGCGAGGAGCTGCGGCAGTGGGAAGGGCGACTGGACACGGGTGTGGAGCATCGCTGCTGGTCCTTTTCTTGCCCAAGATTAATTGTCCCTGTGCAGAGATGCAGACGTGCTTGTTAGATGTGTGCTACTGTGCCGAGGAAGATTATGGCTTGTTCACACAGAGCCTCCAACAGTCATCCAGCTTCAGACTTACGGGAGATTTGACGGAAGCCATTCAGCCCCAGCTGCTGCTCTGGCATCCGGCAGGTCAGGTGGACAATGAAGACCACTTGGTGGACCTGCATGAACAGGACTTCCTTTTGCTAGCTATGGGTTCTAATGAAGCAGGTGCTGCATACCAGAGACACCCTACTGCATTTAATAGAAAAGGTATAGTACTCTACAAACAGAAGAGAATGAACGCCTTGGTGAAGTAGGGAAAAGAATACATAGCTTGCAAGTGTTGCCACCGCTGGGTACTGACGGTTATTTCTACTTACTGGTTTCTTCGAACTAGAACATCTGCGATGTGAAACTAACACAGCAAACCAAACGTTCGCGGAGCATAAAATGCTGGCAGGGCCGCGAATGACGTCCATGCAAGCTATGTATAGGTGGTGGTAATCACTGGACGCCATATTTGAGGTCACCGCTCACAGCGCGTGCTCGGGGGTAGTTCTTATTTATGATCTCCCAAAAGAAGACAATTTGGATAGTGTGCAATGTGCATGCTGGAAGCGTGGCGTCAGCACATGCTCAGCAGCAGTCAGCGCTGCAGCTATGGCCGTCATTGAATACCACCTCTACGAACTGGTTAAGCAAGATTTTCTTTATCTGCAATTCGTAGTCTGGCGTTTATAGAGTGCTGCAGAGTGTAAATGACATGGACGGTGCATACTAGGGTGTAAGGCGATATAGAAGAGCGAGTCTAGTGGCAAAATGAATGATCAAGACCTGACGCTACAATCGACGATGGCTTGGACTCATCCAACTTTGTATCACTCAAGGAGTATGGTGGGCGAACTGAGATAAGGTTACGATTAATACACGACACCGAGAGGCACATATAAAACAAAGACAACTTCCCGCGCCTTGTCCAAACACGTTCATCAGTGGTCTAGTTTTTTTTGCGCTAGAAGAAAAAAGACAGTGCTTTTAATGACAAAGGAAACTTACCAATGAGACGCAACACCAACAGCAAATGTTCTGCAGGATGAAAGTGCGAAAGGATAGAAACGCGGACGGCACTAACACGCAGCGTTCCGAAATTAACTGCGTTCTCGCGCGCTGTCGTCACATGTCAATCACAATCAGTCACGCAGTCACGTGCGCACTGACCCAGTGTTTTGAGCTGATTTGCACGAAAGTGGGAAGGTTGATCGATCTCTTGATCTTCAGGTGCAGGACAGTATTCTCCCGGACAAAATTGCACAGTGTAAAATAGTCGAAGGTGTTAAAAAAAAAAAAAAGAATCACTTGGGTCAATCACATTGTTTAACTTGGCCCAATGCGGTGAGAACGCACAATATCAGATCTGTGACTATTTTGTTGGGACGAGGGGGCTTTCTGAGTTAGCCGGATTCCGTTACCATTTTCACAGGGAAGTACAAAATGAAGCATTAGTAGTTTCACATTGTTGCAAGAATGGCAATTAAGATGCATGCAACATAATGAAACCTGAGACACGGAACAAGGACGCACACAACACCGTCTCAGACGGTGATGTGTGTGCCACATGTGTGTCTTTGTGTGTCCTTCTTGTTCCGTGTCTCCGGTTTTATTCTGTTGTTTAATATTCACCAGCCCGCCTGTGCCCTAACTCTTATGCTTTTCTCACATACTCCACTCTTTTCACTTTAGCAGAGCGAACGCTGGAGAGGATCGAGGCGAGTGGAAAGGGTGAAAGAACCAATCACTGCGAGCAGAGAGCTTTGTAGGAAGGACTTGTCAGCTGCTAGATGGAATGGTTATGTAGGATATAATCGTGTCAGTCTTCTTCGTGGCTTTTGTACACAAATCCACGTACAAGAAGAAAAAAGAGAGAGAGAGAAAAGACTATTATTATTTATTTAGTAGTTTTGGATGTAGTTTACAAAAATATTACTGAAATCGAAATAAAATCGTAGAGAAAATGCCGAAACACCGATCATTTGCTCACAACTATACTCATGCAATTTTGCAAACAAAAAAAAAAAAAAAAAATTGGGGGGGGGGGGGGGGGGGCTGTCGTACGATTGGTGTACTGATCGATGAGTCCTTCAGGTAGGTTTCATTAAATAATGTATCAGTCGCTTAAAAATATTGTGACTTTTGCCTTTCTGTTACAAGAATTACAAGGATATTTGAACCGCGTGGCTCGTGCACGCTTATCTGTAAAAAAGCAAAATAAGAAAGACATTCCCCTTGGGTGGACAAATTCGATATTGCAAAAACTACGCGTCGCAAAAAAAAAAAAAAAAAAAGGCTTGTGTTTTTTTGGCCTTGGGCCAGGGGCCTATTTGGGAAGTTAGATTGTTAAATATTTTTGCGTAAATAACTATTTTAATATTGTGTTTAAGGGCATCGTTTTAAATATAAAATCGCACAGCATCATCGAAAAACACTAAATCAACAAATTGCAAAAGGACAGAAGACACGCGCAGCATTTTACGGCTTTCTGAAAAACCGCACAAATTCGATGGGTTTTTAGGTTTCGGTTTGTAATCGGAGCGCATTTCGGCCCCGACGGCACCGCGCCCCGTGAAGAAATTGTGCAACCAACCTCTGCTGCGTTTTCCTCGCGCAACGCAGCAGAGGCTGATGTATGATCTCTATGAGAGGCTGGGCCAATATCGATAGTATCTAACTTTTCTAAAGGCTTCGAGAAAATCGTTCATGGTAAACTGTCGACATATTTGGAGCGTTTCTCTTTATTAACGGACTGCCAGCACGGTTTCAGAAAAAGAAATCTACTGAATCCGCTCTGAATATAGAAATCAAACTGTTGACAGTAGCGATATATACGTAGACTTTTCTAAGGCGTTTTACCTAGTAAATCACAGTATTCTTTTAAATAAACTACATGCACTCAATTCATTTAAATCCTACCTGTTTGAGCGAAGACAATTAGTTCAAATCACTGATTCGGTAGCATCCATAAGAACAGTACGTGATTACAAATGTACCTCAGGGAAGTGTCTTAGGTCCCTTACTATTTTTGTTTTCTATTTACTAATTCTTTTTCAAAGGCAATACATGTAACGCGATTGGAAAGACGGCTAATCGTATGCTCTCTCAACTACCCCTCTGGAAATATATAAATAGATTACGAATTAACGCAAACAAAACGAAGTGCACGATATCATTTTAGGTGGGTATGTAATTGAAATAGTAAAGTCTTTCAAGATTTTAGGTGTTAGATTTACAGACAACAATTATCATGGAATGAGCCCGTCCAACTATATTCATAAAAAAAAAAAAAAGCGAGAAGGCGCGCGGCTCTATAGGTCCCTCCATATTCCAGATAACGCACAATTTTCACCCCGTCAGATAATTATTTTTAATGGTCTTGTGCAGTCATACTTTTTGTATTGTCACCTCGTATGGGGTACCACCACCGTGCAAAATATAAACAAGATTCTGACTCTGCAATAGAAAGCCCTAAGACTGGTCGCAAGTTTGTCATACCTTTAGGTTTTATCACAAAGGCACTCTTTTTACTCACTTTAGGGCTGTTAGACCTACGAATCTACACTATTACCGGCTCCTGTTATCATATAAAGCAGCGCTAAAAAATAAACGTAGCTATTTCTTAGAAATATCAAACTTACCTAAAAGTACTATCAATTATCACACACGTGTGAAGAGTAGTGGCAAACCATGGTATCATTCGCATCGATCAGATCCATTCTACCATCTTTATTAAACACTTTGCATAGAAACTTCAGCCATAATTGTCCATTTGGTGACTTCGTGTTAATAATATCTACCTTATAAAATGTATTTTTTTTTTTAGAGAAACGTATTGTGTCAAGTCAACTAATGTAAAGCGAATCTATACGGGAAATGAGAAAACAAGGATTGACTCAACTAGCCATTTCTTCGAATCACTTTTTTTTTCTTCTAGTATTGATAACTTTTTTTGTGAAATATAAAAGGCAATCTTCCCGTCCCCCTTTAAAGGGATATTACAACGAAATTTAGGCGCTCATTTTTTGGTCTATATGTGTTCAAAGGAGCAGCATCACATTGAACATACCAATATCTTGTTAAAAAAGTCACGAAAAGGAATTTTAAAACGAATTAAACGATTAGCAAAGAGCACCTGGTGGATGTCGCTAACGCCTCGCTTGTAATGCCCGTCTAGGAACCTTGACAGCTAGTGACGGAGGTTGTCTCGCCTCCGGCCACGACGAGAGAAGAGGGGAAGGAGGAACTTCCCTCTTCCCGAGAATGCCTTTTGTGTGTCGCATAAGTCGCTATTGTCCCCCTACAAGATTACAGGAGATTAACCTGTCACTCAAAATTCGTACAAAAGCAACCGCTTCGGTGGCTGGAACGACTAGGCCATCCCCTCGACGTCAGCCTCGCCGTAGCTTTGCTTGTCCTGAGACGAGCTACGTCACGATTGCGTTAAATGTCACGTAGCCTCCGCTGGGCCTTCCCCGAGCGCTTGCCAGAGTGGGCCGCTTATAACGAAAAATACAGCCACCAGGCTCAAAATACAAACGTGCGATTGTCATTCACGGATATTGTGGATCATATTCAACCTATTTTTGAACACGACGGGAATATTTCAAATTTCGGTTCCACATTATAAATTCTAGAGCCCCTCGCACTAGTCAATTTTGTACAACAAATGTATCGAGGTATACCTAAGGCCGGCAAAGTATCGCGATATACAATCGACACACCGTAAAAGTATTTCACTATACTGAGTAACCAATACATTTCTGAAATGTATATATGGATACAGATACTGGAGAGTATCTCTAAAATACCACCGCGATACATGTGGAACGCAATGCTGCCCAGCCCCGATCAAGAGGAACTTCAGACCACACAGCTAGTGACAACAATAATTTCAGAAACTCGCTGACCTATGTTTTTTTTGTTTTTTTCGTAAACAAACGACAAATTATTTTTAGTATTATGCTTGACCAGACTAAACCTAGACTTTTTCTTTTTTTACTTTAATACTGAGTTTTATTCAAACGTGGCGCAGACGGCAAGCATCAACCTCGGCAGCCGCACACAAGAGAACCAAGTTAGATGTTTCTTCTTTATTTGCTACTCGCAGGCGTCACATAATAGGAAATTCTTCGGATATTTATTGGCGTTGCAATGGCGGCTTCCTCGTAACCATTGTGGCAGAATCTCGGAGCCTGTCTTGATGTCGCTTCTGCTCGGCGCTCGAGTCCTGGCTAGTCGTCTCCCAGGAGGCTGAGTACAGAGGCGAGGGCCTGTCTGAACTGAAGCCTCTTCTGGTCCAGTTCGTCGATGCGGTGCAGGGCCGACCCGATGGCGGACACCAGCTCTCGCACGGTGGCTTCGTTCCGGTCGTAGCGACTGCCCACTTTGCCCCGCACTCCCTCGATCATCTGAGCCACCTGCGAAGGAGAGGAGGACGCTCATGTAAAGACATATCCCCCCCCCCCCTACCTCCCCCCCCAAAAAAAAATAAATGGCTGGATTGGCGATTTTGTGAGGGCCGCAGCCCAGCAACATCAAGGGGGGGGGGGGGGGGGCTGACCACGGTGTGATGTAATGGTATCCACCACTGGGTAAACTATGTGTCGGTAATCCGTTAAGAGACACAATGGGGGAAACGGCACGTGAGAGGGTCACTAGAAAGCAGGGCGGACTGACGTCACGTGCAAGCCACGCGCTCGCTTCATCTACATTTAAAAAAGGTTCGAAGTCATCGGCTAAAATCGATATTTAACTTCGTGAACTGCATGGGCGAGGGGTTCAGGTGTCAATTATAACACTATAGCAGTCTGGAGAAGTTACTTTTCTTTCTTTTTTCAAGTATAGTTAGTTACATTTAGTTTTCCAGCAATGTATTTAACTTACAGTTACTTCAAAACAAAAGTAACCCGTTACAATTATTTGGACAGGGTAGCTTAGTTGTTCATAATGGAACAGCGCGAATTTTACGAGGCTGGACAGGACGAGCGCTGACTAACAAATGAAAGGTTTATTACCAGGAAACCACGAAGAAAACATACAACAACACGACTCTCTAATCACGATGGAAATGCGCATGCGCCTCACAAAATTGGGTGCCATCTGTTACACAATTCTATATGCGTCATCTCCGATCTCAAAATTCGACCTCACTGTCCAGCAAATTCAAGAAAGCCTGACTAACGCAGGCTGGCCCCTCCTTCTTTATTCTATGTGCTTCGACAATATTTCGAGCTTTCTGGTCCCTGTGTTTGTACAACACAATGGCCTCGTCAAGTAACGGTTTACAGGCGCAATCCCTGCAGTGTAACGCCAAGTGGGAGCTTGCTGTTTTTGTTAAAGAACTACGGTGTTCCCGCAGGCGAATGTTGAGGCACCGCCCCGTCTGTCCGATGTAAACCTTCCCGCACGTGAAGGGTATCTGGTATACAGGGAGTATTCACTGGCGGCCATAGCTGTGCGCGCGAATGCTGAGCGCGTGTTGATGGCGAGCTTCCACAGTTCTTTTGCAACGTGCATTCAGTACCATCAAGAGTGCCGGTCTTAGCAGCCTATTGATGTGAGCTCGTTCCGAGCATGCGCTCTAAACAGCACCCACAAATATGGCGTCCAGTGAATACTCCCTATACTACACCCAATGTGCATGGCACGAGCTCCATGCGGTGTTTTATGCCGCACGGCCTCTCCCCCTGTTTTTCTTCCTTGTTCACGCGCTTTTCTACTGCAGAGCAAATACCGCTTAATTTGTTTCGTGCCGAGAACACTAAATCTATACCCCGTACTTTGAGGCGGCTCTTTTAAAGCCGTGTGACATGTGGTGCACATAAGGAATGACTGTGACCTTCATTTTTACTTTTTTTGTTACTTTTCCCCGCGCCTCGCCTTTAATACTTTTTACTATTGCTTCCGCGGCCGAGGCGATTACCGAATCCGGGAAACCGGCGTCTTTCTCCCGACCTAGGCGGCAAGGCTTTCTCCCACTCTGTGGTAGCAAGACTTTGTTACCGCCGAACGAATACATGATTCAGCAATGCCTCTTTTGACGAGTTTAGAATGCCCCGATCTAAAATCAAGGAGAGTCTTGGTGGTTCTGGGATGATGCCACCAACAAACGTGGCTCTGGCTCACATCCACGCTCAGATCCAAAAACTGGATTGTCTGGTCTTTTGGGGTTTCAAAAGTGAACCTCAGGTCCAAACCTTGCTCCTTGAACGTTTTTAGCACGAAATCGAGGGTCCGACTAAAGTTACCTTTTTCGACGAAAACCAAATAATTGTCTACATACCTAAAATTAAAAAAAAAAAAAAAAAAAAAACACCAAAAAGCTCGAAAGATTGTCGAAGCTCATAGAATAAAGAAGGAGAAGCCAGCCTGCGTGAGTCAGGCTTCCTTGAATTTGCTGGAAGTGAGGTCGAATTTTTAGATCGGAGCCTAACAGAATTATGTAACAGATAGCACCCAATTTTATGAGGCGCATGCGCATTTCCATCGTGATTAGAGAGTCGTGTTGTTGTATGTTTTCTACCTGGTTTTCTGATAATAAACCTTTCAGTTGTTCGTCCTGTCCAGTTTCTTCCTCCGTCCTTGTAAAATTCACGCTGTTCCATTATGAATACATCCCAACTCACCCAGTTATCCTGTTTGCTTAGCTTAGTTACTATCGAGATGGGCACGTATTTTGTATACGAGTGTAAAAACAAAAATGTATAAAGAAAAGCACGATGCGTGCCTAGCGGTACTGTCTATAGAAATACGGATCAAAATCAAAATTCACCCCGAGGTGCTTGCGAAGATTGCACGCGGAGGAGTTCTCGGTGGCATACATCTTCTTGCAGTATTTACAGCAGACAGTGAGACTATTTCCACTACATTTCATCGGGTCAAAGTGCCTATCAAAACGCGACCACGGTAATGCCTGCCGATCGTCATCATCATGACGACATCTCATTTGAACGCGGATTACGGTCAAGTACCATCAAACTGAGTCTCCTTTTACTTGTAACGGATCTCTCTATTATACAGACCAACGGACTGTCCCATTACAAGAATGGGGAGGGGATCAGGTACCCAGATAATTTGGGACTGGAAAATCCAAAAGACAACTAGAATCAAACGAAGTCCAAGAAAGAAACGAACAAAAACACCACAAAGTCATCTCGAAAGGTGTTGCGATTTTTCCTTTCACATCCATTCTATACAATGCAGAGCAAAAAGGGTCGACCACGGGCCACGGGCCCACGGCCCCTGAAAGAGCAAGTCAGCTAAAAGAAACGTTGTCTGTGGCTCGCTTTTGCAAATGAAGCGTGGAGACTAGCCTCAAAGCAAATGCCTCGCAAGCAACTTCAAATGTAAAAAAAAAAAAAAGAAAAAAAAAAAGGCTTTGCGATTGACTATACACCTTTCCAAAAAACGCTTCTAGGCCGCCGCCATGTTGCTGATGCTTATGCGGCTGGTGCGACTCTCGCGCCCTCTATCAGCCAGAAATTTTCTGCCATTCTTTGAGACTGTGAAGACCCGCTCAGCGCGGTTCTCTACCTACGTTTTTGCGGTTTTGCATTCGACGTTTTCTCGCCCCTCTTGAAAGTTTCCACTTAAAGACCGACGACCAGTTCGCGCTTCCCACTTTTCCCCTGCTTCCTCCTCTCCCCCTTCTACCCTGTCCACTGTTGCCTGTTTCCTCCTCCCCCAGGGTGAGGAGCATCTTCTGCCTTGCAGAATCTCGAGTATGGTCGTCGGCCTTTAATGTTTTTATGCGTGCTGCGTACCCTTTCAGTGTTATCTTCCATTGTGAGAAATAAGGCTGGGAAGTGCCTGCCATTCAAGCTTTTCTGCTCGACATTCACGGGAAACGAAGGAGGTGAAGGACGTCGAACGACCCTCGACGCGATTTTGCGAACATTGTACTCCCCCCTCTCAGAGGTAATCCGCGTAGAATGCTCAGTCATCTCCAAAAATAGTTGTCCGGGTTGGGGTGAGAAACGGGTCAGTCGCGTTTGTTTCTTTGCCTTGGTGCGGTTGTGAAAAAAGGAAGCTCTCCCCAAAACGTGCCCCAAAACGAAGTCATCTCGGATTCCGTCTGATCGTCAAGATGCGACTGTCGTCGACTGTGACTGTGTTATTTGAGATCTTTCTCAAATAACTTCTTTTCGGATAACGCTGCATAGTGTGGTACGTAAGATATATTGTTCGAATGTTAACACTTCCTCAATTGTATGTCCGTGTCCTGTCCATCGGTAAACACGTTATTTGTGAGAGCGAAAAATGCATGCCTTTCGGCCCTCTTCTGTTGCAATTTATTTTCGTCAGCAAAGCGCTTTGTCGTTTCACATGCGACGAATCCCGCGGCGCCGTCAAAACTTACCGTAAGAAAAAAACAAATAACTAGAACTATACATTCCAGTCGCATTCGTTCAGTCGCGCGCGTACCCAACAAAAATAGTTTAAAGGTTTTTTTTTTGTCTTTTTTTTTTTTTAAATGTGGCACAATGCTTTTTCAATGTCCTCGGGAAAATAGATGTACCATGAATCACAAACTATAGCGGGAAAAGACGAGAATTTAGCCGTCAGCAGCGTTTGAAACTGCGCTACGCAGGCTGCGCCTATTGAAATCACAGTCCACTCGGTTAGGGTTAGGAGGGACGCCGGTGAGAGTCTAGCCTCAAACTCAGTGACTGGGCTCGAAAACGGTTTGTTCCTCCTGGGGTCGTGTGTTTTTTTGGTTCCATTAGGGTCATAGCAGAGAGGGTAAAAAGAGAAAAAAAATGCCCTCCCCCTCTCGCCCGAATGTCGTCTGCTCCGCCGAGTGGGCAGTACCTAGCATCCGGCTGGCGTACAAACTCTGTTTAAAATCGCGTCATTTTGGGAATTTCAAGCGCAGATGCGCAGATTTTGGTATGCCAGTTATCTTGTATTACTATGCTAGATAAAAAGAACTAACATAGTCCAATTGCGCTGTTATCTGCGTGCAAATAAAAAAAAAAAATAGGGAAAACTGTGTCAGACTGGCCGGTCTCTCCGGCGAAAAGTGAATCCGGTGGTTGTACCTTTTTTACTATACAAAGTTCGTACTGGTGTAGGCCTTTAGCGACCATGAGCGGATGTCTGAAATAATAAATAAAAACGTGCTCTCCTGCCGCAATACACGCAGTAGTTGAGGGTATAGTACTGCCGGCTGACTCAACTGCCATTTAAGTAACGGAAAAAAATATGTCAGTTGATCATTTACCGAAGTAGAACAACAGAGAGCTCTAGGCTGATTTCGGAGTAGCCATAACTATTCTAAGAATGCGAACCACTTCACAACGGCAGCCACGAGCGAGAGTTCGATGTTCCGTACAGCCCGCCGATACAGCCCAAAGATAAAGAATGGCAACCTCCCGTCTTGTCGTCTGCTAGCGGAGTCGCGCGCGTGCCCTCTCTCTCGTTTTTCCCCGCCGAACCCGCTGAATTTCCCGGATGTATGGAGAGGGCGCTGCTGTCGAACAAAATGGTGCCGCCCAGAGAGCGCTAAATGGAATGGTCCTCGTCCTGCCCGGCAAAAGCAAACGAGTGGAGGAGTGAGAGAGTTGCGGCGCAACAATTTCAACACACGCGATAAAAAAAAAAAGTAAGGTATTTTTTTTTTTTTTGTCGGGTCCATATTTTTTTACAGGCTCAAGCAAGCAGAGGACAGACGAGTGATGAAAAACGCCGCGGACGCTGTGACGTGGACCTCATGCCATACCGCCACATCACAGCGTCCGTGCAAGTTGCTGTGGAGAGTCCGGCGACTGTCGTGCTGCGCCCGTTTTCGTAGCTCATGTGTCCCCTGCTTTAGAAAAATAGGGCCCATTTTCCCGACAAGTAACTGTATCTTTGCCGCTACTTTTTAGTTGTATATTTTTACAAAAAAAGTAATTAAATTATCGTTATTGTTACTTTAATGCAGAGCGAACGCTGGAGAGGAGGCGAGTCTCTCCTTAGCTCTTCTCCAACGTTTACTTCAAAATGTAAACAGTGCAAAACTTTGTAAAAAAAAAAAACAGTTTGTGTTTTTTTTTTCTTGCTTAGACGCGAAATTTTGAAATCTGTGACAATGTTGAGGAAGGTTTGGGCTATGTAGCAAACTTTATGAGTACCTGGTCGATAATCTTCGACTGTAGATCTGACAAGAAAGCAAAGTCTCCCTCTTTTTTCTCCAGAAATTGGTTCAGAAGCGTTCTGGTTTCCATGTAGATCTGCTCAACCTCGGTCAAGGCGGGCGGCTGGGCTTCATCGGGCTTGTCGGTGTGCGAGTTGGTGTCCTGAAATCGAGAAGCATACGATAGTATTATTCTGCAAAATTTTGTTTACATTTTGATGCACGCGCAAACACGCCGTTGCAACAATTACGCCATCTTTTTTTTTTTTTTTTTAGTTTAAAGGCAGGTTTTGATTTCTCTGCATACCTGAACTGTTGGAGTCTCCGTTTCTTTCTGTAGTTTAGAAGGATGACTGTCACCTCGATCTTGATTAGCGTCCGAAATGATAGTTTCAGACGAAGAGCGCTTAGACGTACGACGCTCGGCCGGTTTCTTCGAGCTTTTGTCGCTGTTCATTTCTGGGTTCTAAAAAGAAGGAAGACGCAACCTAAGTAAGCGCGCCGAACATGGTTAAAATCGCGCACAAAGAGACGAGGACAAACGAGGAAGGAACACAGAACACTCGTTTGTCCTCGTCTCTTTGTGCGCGATTTTAACCATGTTCAACGTTTACCAACTCGCCCAACTTACTACTCTTCTAAGCGAGCCGACTTGAACTACGAAAAGCCAATAAATAATATATCCGGGAAACATAACCTTTTACCTGTTTCGTGACTGGTTGGAAGAAGCAGTTCGATGCGGCACTCTCCAGCAGCGTTGCAGTGGCTAAAATGCTTCGTCTGCTACCGCTTGCTGCCAACGTTTTCTTCTCACCACCTAATCTTGATGTTGCACAGACATACACCGAAACGCGAAATAAGCGAAAATTACTGAAATAAGTGGCTTTGGGCTGCGGTGGGACAAAATTACGACGTTATTAAAAAAGACGCGAGTTTTCGTTTTCGTAAAGTGCGCGTCCGTGTCTGTTATGTCACGTGACAAAGCAGGTGGAGTCGCGCGCTGCATTCTGGGATCGACTTGGCATGGGGTGCATTGGATCGGTACGCGTCTGGTAAGGCTTACATTTTCAATTTTCTCGCGATTTTCTCGCCTGTCGTTCCACCACGGCGATTGCAGACCGATAGGGAGGTCCCCCGCTGACTATCTCTTAACCTTCGAACCAAATCGTTCGCGCCAACGACGCCGAATAACGGATTCGCTCGGCCACCTAGGCGTGTGCGCATGACTCGACGTTTGCCAAATAGAAGTTTCGAAAAAGCGGCACACACCGCTCGCTCAATCGCACTTCAAGAAAGACGCTTTCATTGTTGTTCTGGCTAGCGTGACACGCCGCGATCGATCAATGAGTCGCGTATACTCAAAACATTTGGCCCATTTCAAGCAGTTATCGAGCTTTTCGCCGCCGCGATGTCTTTCGCAGCAGCGGTGCACTCGTACACGGTCGTAACCTCCCTACTGGGGTTAGTTTGCAGAGCTCCGCGTTAGTCATCTGCTGACGTTGAGCGGTGATGAGGATAGTGATCATTTACGGCTCCCCGGTCGCTCGTGGCCAGATAAAGGCTGGAATTCCGACGGCTTTACGGAAGCTTATCGACGCTAATCTTTTACCTTGAATACGAAAAGCGGTAGTGGACATCGTGCTCGCTTGAACGCTTCACCGCTCGTCTTTACCCCTTGTTGTGACTCATAGAACGGAACAAAAACACGCGTCGACTTGAGTAAGGTTTCTACGGATTTACGCGAAAAACACCGGAGCTGGTAAGCATTTGACGGCACTTGGCTCTCGTAGTGGGGGCTTTAAGGCTTCATGCTGCCTTTTTTTCTTTTCTCTTTTTGAGAGATCCACGTGCACAGGAAAGGTGGTGTCGAGGTGTTTTTTTTTTTTTTTTTGTGCAATCTCGAAGTTCCCGTTATGATGCTTATGTCGGGAAGTCCGTGAAGGCGGTGGCATGTCTACGTGTTGTAAGGTTTCGCACTTTTAGTTTCAGCGTGCGGGTGTAAGCTGCCTGTGAATGGGGCGTGGAGGTTTTGTTATTTGGTGTCGCAAGTTTTAAGGTGGTTATTTTTTATGTAGGCGTAGGGACGTGCGTTCATGCTCCCAATGGTTGAGTTTACATGTCTGAAACAAAAAAAAAAAAAAAAAAAAAAAAACACCTACACTTAACAAAAAAAAAAAAGCAACAAGAAAAAAAAAAAGATTTGGGTGTGGTCACATGACTTTTGGATAAACATTGCTGGACAACCTATCCGGAGCGCAAGTTTGTCTGCTTCTTGCGCCGGGGTTGTGGCGACGTCAAAACGCCGAGCTCTGATTGGCTCCAATTGGAAGGGTAGTGGGTGGACCTCAAGGCAGCTAGCATTGAGGTCTACCCACTAGCCTTCCAATCTAAGCCAACCAGAGCTCGGCGGTCTAGAAGAACTTGTGCCACATGAAATCTTCGAAGCCTCTACTGCTTTACAAGCGTTATCCTCTCATTATGCATGCCCTGGGGAAAAAGATGAGTTCTACATTATATACTGTGTTTGAGCATCTTCAGTCTTGAGTGTAAGAGTACGGATTTCACTCCAATGCCGAAGACGAGGGTATGGAGAAGTTCCTGTTTACGCTCACACTCTAATAATACTAGACGTGTACCGTGGGAGGTGCGCCGTCTGGATGCAGTGCCAGGTCAATTAGTGCGTTTAAAACAGAAAACTGCAATAACCACGCATAATGGGCCGCACCTCATTCTCTGCCATTTCGAACGTCCGCCACCAAAGCCAACGAAGCAGACGAGGTTCGACGGGTGCGAGAGCAGAAAGCAGACGAAGAGCACACGGCGAACAGGTCGTGCGACGTCTTTACTCGATTTTCTCCGATGTTGCTCACCTATCGGAGGAGTGTACCGTGAGCAATTACTCCGGAGTAAACAACCCGCTTCTGGAATGCGAGTTCTACTGTCGTCGAGCAAGCGCGAGTAAGTTTTGCAACGCCAGGGTATGCCGAGGTCTGAACGAGTAAATCTTGAAACGCGGCCTAAAACTTGGAACCATTTGGCATACTTCTGCTGTAACAGTTACGGGAATTTTTAAAATTGTAAACTTATTCCCAAGTGCCTCTCATCTTATTTATTCCACACACAGTGTCCCTCACCTGCCATTTGTCTCGGAAAGCTGGTTTAGTAAACACCCAAGGCGGAACCTAATATTGATTTGGGTGTGGCACTGTGACGACAGGTAGTTCTTCGGTTTACCTTTTTTTCATTGCGAAGCACCGCTACAGTCAATGGAGCAACCCTCCGTCTGCCACACTCAATGACAGAACGAGAAAGGCAGGGTGCGTCTTTTGAACGCCCGACCTCCAGCACGTGCTCCGCTCCTTCTGCGGCGCTTTGGCAGCTAGCGTACGCTCGAGACGCCAAAGGGTTCTTGAAGGTAGGAAGCTTGTGCCGGAGGCTGAACAACCGAAGCTTCTCCCTGCCATTCTTGCCCTGTCGGTGAATGCAATTTAGTTACACCTTAAAATTTCCGAGGGTAAGCACAGCACGCTCTTTGACCATAAGGCAGAATTCGAATTTCTGCGTGGCGGTGCAAACCACTAGTAAAACTTCAAACTGGGGTAAAAAGATTGGTCCCAACTTTTTTCGATGGGGAATAAGCATACTAACGAGAGGGCTAGCGCTGTTTCCCGGATTGTAAGCGTCGCGCCGTTGGCTTCGGGCACCCGGTCGCAGTCGCACATCAAAATGCACGACTGTAGGCTTTCGTTGATCAATCCTCAATTAAATTTTATTCGACGCACTGGAGACTTGTAATTCTCAACCCGACTGTGTGCGTCTTAAAAATGATCCGTGGAAAAAAAAATTTTTCCTTTTAGATCGGGATGATGGTCATGTTGAGTGTCGGGTTGGTGCTTAGCAGGAGTCGCTTTCCGACTGCAATTTTCTGAATGGGCCGAGGGAGGATTCTAGGTGGTGTCGGTGCTATTACTGAAAGCGGAAGAAAATTAGTGGATAATTTCCTTCTCAAGCAAAGGCATAGATAAGCTGGTTTATAGACATTCTAAGCGTGAATGTGCATAATTTAGTTAGGTTACGATATGTTTTGTGCCTTGTTTGTCTTTGGGCAAGGTCAAAGGAAAACATGCCTCGCAATATTTACAACTTTGGATGTCCCACACCCGCAGTCTGCTGCCTATGGCTTTGGGAATAAGCTGAGTTTTGGGCAGGGCAGTCTGGAACAGAGGGATCTATGCGTCCCCCCACGTTCCCACACCGAGCCTGGGCGGGCGAGGTGACAGGCAAGGTGAGGTGAGGGGGTGGGGGGAAGCACCAGGGTAGGTGCCGACAGACACTTCTTGAACCCGTCCTGAAATTCGAAGACAGGGGAGGACTCTGGGAAACCAGGTGGCAGTTCACGTGGTTAGACATTCCTTCCCCGACCTTAGTATCCTACCCTCACCGTTTTATGTGACAGGGTCCGCAGGCGACAGTTTGAGAACCGCCTGCATGAGACATCGGCTGCCATTCTGGAGCTTCCTGGGGATTTATTCTTCCTATCACCTTCGACTAACTTCACACTCTGTTCGGTTTTCTTTTTCCTGTCTGAAGTGTGACCAAAAAGAAGCCCACTTTCATCTGGAAAGGCTACAGCATTGTGCAATGATGTAGCACTTCAGAGAAGATGGCCGAGTGCGTGGAAAAGGCATTCGCAAGACAGTCAGGCTCTGTTCTAAAAGTATCTGGCAGAACTTTCCGAGCAAGGTTGTTAACGGCGACGTCAAGCACAGATTCATATTTGGTTGACATTCCTGAAATTGAAAATTGCAGTGTCTTTGTAAGTGATGTACATGTGCATAAGTCAGCGAACAGAAAACAACCGACAGGAAAGTTTGACTTCCCCCTAGTGATGCTTTAAGATGTTCACCTTAACGTGGGAACAGTTATGGAGTAAACAATGGTTTGGGCAGCTCCGATATGTCCCTAATTGGGCTTCTTGAGCTCAGTTGTGGGTTAACGCTCTTGTGAGGTCTGCCAACAGTAAAACAATGCTAATGAAGAATCGCTTGCGTGCAAACAAATAAAAGCAATAGGGGCAAAGGTTTACGAAAGTGGCTGCAGGCGGCTTGCCTGAAGTAGGACGGTGCTTCCTGAAGTGGCCCTTGAGGGGAATTTTAGGAAGGAAGCACTTTTCGACCTGGTGAATGGGTCTAAATATTTAGTGTTCAGTGAGGAACCGGCTTGCACGAGTTACAGGCTGCTACTGCTGCATTGCATGTGATACCCGTGTAAGCAGTTTTTTTTTTAGTAAATAATGTGTCGAGCTGAATTCTACTGAATTTAAATTTGCTGTCCATGCGTCGTGAATCGAAGACGAATTTAGCTATTGTCATCAGTTTTTTTTGTGGTTCCTCTTTGTTGAAAGGTGGAAAGCAAAGAAAACTGAAATGAGAAGCATTGCTCCTGCAGAAGTTTACTGTTCATAGCAACATTGTTAGATCGACTCAGTTGTGCAACTCCATTCCGGATGTGAACTCCTTTACGTGTCATCCATGAGGGGGCTCCTGCTCTGCATTAGGGTACATTACCATCATCATTGGGTACTCTTCTTCGTGCTTTCTGACAGCAACTTATTTTCCAGTTAAGCTGTTATTTGCAGCATAACATTAAAAAGAAATTTCCCAGCCCGTTAATGGCACATTTCCTCCCATTGCTGCGGGTATCAAAACACATTTAAAATGTTCGCCTGCTGAAGTTCCAAAAACAAGCACCTCTGCCTGTGCAAAGCGTTTACGGTAAACTCGCTGAGTCGCCTACAAAGAAATGCCTATGCATTCCGCTGCTTTTTAAAGTGCAGAGTCAATGGTACGTTGTTTTTGTCCAAAAACTTGAAGCTAGCAAACGGCACGTTGCTAAATGCGCCACCGCTATGAAAAATCGGATGAATATTTGGACATTCTTTATTGCACAACATGCACTCGTTGCCCTCGTCGTGGTTTTGCTGCGCGCGCATACTCTGGGCTCACGAGAGTGGTCCCTGCTGTTCTCATCGTGCCAGTGACTAGTATAGACCCTTTTACTGTTTACAAACACAAGCCGTCTCTGGCTACCCAAAAGACTTCCGGTTGCTCTGATTTGGCAGGCTTTCCCAGCATGCTGACATCAATATCGCTGGGACTACGAAGTTCTACAGAAATCACGAAGGTAGGGATTTAGTGAGGTCCTTCCTCTACGCCATTCAACATATAAGAGAGGATCGGTCGTCTTACGGGAGTATTAAAAGTCTCCAACAAGTACCCCACTAACCACCCGGAGGACTGGTCATAAAATATTTCGTAAATGTAACAAGCGGTGCTGTAGTGAGGATTGTTTGTCCTCTCGTTTGACCGGAAGTTTGTGAGGATGTAAATTACCAACAGCGCCTCCTACTGCCACTTTAAAAAAAATGTGTGTACTATCGCGGACAAGATGAACTGAAACAGCGCTCCGGCCGGCGGACGGTACTACCTGCGCCGCCTGTCGCCTTGCTCCGCACACATGGCGCACCCTGAATCCGAGATATTTTCTCACTTGCGCTCGCTGCGCCACTGCGCTCTTCCGGCTGTCTGCAAGCGAGAGGGTAGGCGCGACAACTGTGGGTGCGACAGCGGGCATGTATAGTAGGGCGGCGGGGGGAACAAAAGATTA